GTAGTATGTTCTTGATGTGTTCTTCATCAGATGGACATCTTCCCAGTTGATGTTTTCCTGTTGTTGTTCTTGATGTCTGCTTTTTAGTTTTGAATATATATCCCTGTGCCTAATTGTCTCCCATTCTCCCGACGAAAAGTTGGTTGATTGATATATGCTCAAGATATCCCGCCAGTATGCTGGAATTATTGCAGCGTGGGGCATTGAGTTTGTATAAAGATTTTGGTTAATCTGTTTAATTTTGGTCCCCAGTGAATATTGCGCTTCGAGGTGCCAGAATTGATCCAAGTTGACTCCATTAACCAGCGCCTTCATCTTCTCAACCCGGCATGCTTCTAGTTTGGCTTTTATATCTATCATGTTTATACCGCCCTCCTCTCGTGGTAGTAGGAGTTTTATTCTGCTTATTGCCTCTATCTTGTTGGGATGCCACAAGAATTGAAAGAGAGCTCTGTTTATCTCCTTCATAGCAATTGGGGGGAGTGGTTTAACTTTGGCATGAAACATTACTATCGACATTAATAGCGAGTTTATAATGATTTGCTTATCAAACCATGTAAGATTTCGGAATTTAAGATAGTTCATAGTTCTGATTAGTTTTAGCTGTATTTCTTCCCATGTTTTATATAGAGGTTTTTGACCAAAATTCATTCCAAGTACTTTTACGTCCTTCTTAATATATCGTCTGTAGGGAGATTGAAAGATCGAATTATATGATGATTGGGTAATACACAAAATTTGGGTTTTTTCTTTGTTAATTTTTTGTCCTGAAGCTAGTTCGAAATTGTGAAGTTCGTGGAAAATTTCAGTAATGGATGGTTGGTTCGAAACAGTAAAGGTTACGTCATCTGCATATTGATCGAGTTTGTGCTCCTGTTTTGCCAGTTTTATACCGCGTATGTTTTGGTTGATTTGAACCGACCTGGCTAACGGTTCCACGCTAAGTGCATACAGGAGCATGCTTAAAGGGCAGCCCTGTTTTATTCCGCGTTCAATCCTAATTTCCTGAGTCAATTTCCCGTTTACATCAATACAGCTTTTATTTTCTAGATACATGTTTTTAATAACGTTCAGAAACCGGTTTCCGATCCCTATTTTGTCCAAAATGCCGAAAAGAAAGTTGTGATCAACATTGTCGAAAGCGTTTAAATTGTCGATGAGTACCATCGTTGCGGGTATATTTTTGGATTTACAGAACCGAATTATTGCGTCCGTGTTATAATGGACGTCTGACATGTCCCTATGTGGTAGAGAACATTTTTGCGACGAACTAATGATGTGAGCTAGAGCTGGTTCCAATCTTTTGACGAGTATTTTTGATATGATTTTGTAGTCCATATCGAGCGTAGTTATTGGGCGCCAATTTTTTAATTCTGTTTCTTCACCTTTTTTGTTCACCTAGTTTGTCCTATTATCACTATCAAGTTCATCTTATTAAATATTCAAATACCACAGATTCTATTTTGTAAATTTATGCTACCAGTTATGGGTAACGGAATAGGTGCCGTGACGAGCGACCATGAACCAATAACTGGTCATTATTACCTAATCATACCCGACATGAACTGATAACTGCGCAAGAGGTCATGGTTTTCCATATGATTATTCTGACATATCACCTTTTTTCTCTAGAGGTTAAATGTAAAACCTTATCCTATGCATTTATGAGTCTTTTTGTCCATATTTCATTGTCAATGCTTTATCTGACCGATTTCTTATATACAGCATTGGTCAGGAGCCTCATTGACCTAACCGGTCTTGTATACTGACCCTCACAAATATTTATAAACAATTATTATTGAATTGTTATTCAGTAGGAGCCTATACATTTTGCTGTTGTAATAGTAAACAAGAGAGCTATGCTCAAATATATGGACACGTAGCGCCACCCAATGGCAATAATTTTGATGACGTCATAGCGAAAAAAAAAGTAATAGCCTTCTAGAGAAAAAATTTTATTTAAAAACTTCAAAGCAATTGCTCCAGTATTCGAAGAGAAAGGCGATTTTTTAAAAATGATGGAGACAAATAACAATAACAACATAATATTGAAACGATCGTTATGTCCACTAAACGTGTCCAATAATACGAATGATTTTAACGATCGGAACCAAAAATATCAATTTTGTTTTATAGGGTTAACCACTTAATGCCGGAATTATGATCCGCTGAGAGAAAAAAATCGCCGCTTCGGTTATTTGCTAATTCAAGGCCGTAGAATACGAATTCAAACTTATTTTTTTTATTTTACCCCCCATTTGGGAGAAAAAATTTTGTCACGAAATCGATACACTCGTCCACGTGATGAATTTATTGTGTCAATACTCACACGTAATGCGACTGATACGAATGGAAATATAACAAATTCAATTCAAAATAAACGAAATCGGACAACAGAAAATGTTCAGTGGACCGTACTGTTGGTCATTAATATACGCCATGGTACCACGCAAAGCAATTTTTGGCTTTGTTTAAGCATAAATATACTCCGCATTTGGTACATCTGATTACCGGCTTGCTATCACACCCAGGGAAACGACATCGCTGTCTCTTAGCTTCTACCACAGGCCAATGGCCAGTGGCGTCGGTTCTAACCTCATTGTTGGGATGTGGAGTAGCTATTCTTCTGATTCGTGGTGGGGTAGTAGACAATGGCCTGCCTCGCTTAAGCGGAGTCGATATTTTCCCAAGCTTGCAAAGAGATTCTGCCACCGAACTTCGAAACGATAAAAGATCTCGCTGCTTGTTACTCGCAACTCCCAGGGACTCACAATCTCTTCTGTATAGGATCCAGCTGTTTACAATAGCCAAATCAACCAGGTGGAAGAAGATCCTCAGGTAGTACTTTTTTGACCGAATGCGTATTCTATAGTAGGCTATAAGCGCATCTAACAAGTCTACGCCTCCCATGCTACGGTTATAAAAATCTACCATAAAAGGACGAGTCACCATTATGTGCTGTTTCGTGACGTTGTCCCATCTTCGGACTTCTGATGTGGGCATGGCGCTGGCAAAAGAACTGGCAATAGTTACACTTCGTTTATCATACCACTTCACAACTCTTATTTCAGTGTCCTCAACACATGACGTCTTTTCCTGATAACATCCCCGTCCTCTATTTTTCAAATCTTTGTCAGATTCCAGCTCGCATCCCAATAACCGATTTTGTCTCGCCGTCCCTATACAATAGATCTTCCTTTTGGCGAGAACGGACATCAAAGGTATGGACGTAAACCAATTGTCAAAACAGAGTATGTGATTTACATCATTCTCCACATTATCGGTCAGTTTGATGACTATGTTAGCACTAGCTCCGAGATCAGGGTAACCAGAAACAGGATGTATCTTTCCTGTATATATTTCAAAGTTGTGTACCAAACCATCTGTTCCACACAACATAAAGATTTTATACCCCCATTTGTGGGGCTTTTTGGGAAGATATTGTTTCAGCCCTGACCTCCCAGTAAACGGAACCATCTGCTCGTCGATACATAAAACTTGCTCTTGATGCAGTGGTTTGAATTTTGCTTTAAGCATTTCTAACGGGGGTCTGATTTTAAACAATCGATCTTGTTGAACATCAGAATCGCCATGAAGTAAATCGTTGTTATTGAAATGGAGCATCTTTTTTATTCTTTCCCATCGATCACGGGTCATTACATCGGCAACGCAGTTAACCTTTGTTTCCACAGCCCAAAACATACGTGTTCTCGGTAGACGAAAAATAGACATGTAAACGACACAACCAAGAAACTTCTCCATTTCTGGAATTGTAAGGTTTAGTTGTTTGGAGGGATCGCTTTGGCTCGCATAGATATTGGTTTCCGCAACTATTTGGTGCATTACATCCGAGTCAAAAAAATATTTGAAATATTCAATTGGTGCTCGCACTGTTTCCGATTCATACTCACGGCCTTTCCATGCAGGCAGCTCTCGTGCTGATTCTGGGTCACTTTCCTGTACAATCCTCCATACGGGCTTCCTACGTGGGATATTGATTCCAATACACACCTCGACTTCAACCACGGAAGAAACTGACATCTCGCCTGACCCTCTTGCTTCCTGATCACTTTCTCCTCCCTGGTCAATGGATATATCCTGACTAGCAGCTTCGTCATCTGAACTTTCTGACAACAAGGCATAGTCTCTAATCTTTTTCGGTGGTACATATTCATCTTCGCTACTGCTGCAGTCACTGTCTTCGCTAACATCCCCACTAGGTGGAAAGCGGATTCTCCAATTCTCCTTCTCATCCATTTTTCATTATTTGAATAAATTACTTCTACCACTAAACAATTTGAAGAAATTCCTGCATATTACTTTAGCCAGTCAATATCAGAAGCAAATCTTGATCAAAATATTATCATTACTTTAGGCTTTAGCCAGTCAATATCAGAAGCAAAACTTGATCAAAATATTATCAGGTTTAGAGGGAAAGACATTATTTTAACTAATTAAACATCACTATATATAAATTTCGATAACAGAGTTACACATACTTAAAACATATTAGATTATGTTCCTATTTCTGCTCTTCAATTTCAAGTGTCTTGGTTTATGAAAGACAACTTAAACTGCAAAACATGGACGGATGGGACGATTTAGTGACAGTTGGGAAAACTGGCGTCAGCAGTAAACAACTAATTGTTAGGCAAAACTCTTTTTACCAAATGAAAGTACACATAACGGCCTCTTACTGTGATTTTTTTCGACTCTCTGGGGTAAAGCTTTATACCCCAAAAAAGACGACGAAATCCGACTGCTACCGACATCACATTTCAACCGACATCAATGTAAACAAAGATGGCTGACCACAAAATATGAAACATTTGGTGGCGCTAAATAGGCTCAAACGAGAGAGTGGGTACAGACGATTTCGGGACAATCGCCGCTTTCTCTCTAGCTATCCTGGTTCGTACTATGGGGTGCAATAAAGTCAATGTCCCGAAAACGACCCCGTCGTCGTTAAGTGGTTAAAGGTCTACGAAAGAACCAACCTGTCACTCAAAAAACAGTTGACGTTTTGTGTTCGTTTCTCCATCAGCGCTGCTTTGTTTTGTTTGTTTTCTCTTTTCGAGTGATATTTGTGCGCTGGACCTTCCACATTCATGCACTCGTAATCAAAGTACCGGTACAATAGAATGCCTCGTTCAAGATCTAGAAGCCCAAGAAGGGGTTATGGTGAGTGTTTGATTGTCTGTACCGTAGTCGGCTGATTAATTAGTTAAGACTGTAAGATGAAGAAAAGTCTAGGCTATAAGTAAGTTACGGTACCCTGGTACCGGTTCCCTGGTTCCGGTACCGTACTCGTATCATTTGCTTAGGATTCGATATTAATGTTGGAAGCATTGGAACGGATACAATGATTTTGCCCTGGGATAGTGGATTTCATTTTCTAAAATATGGTAGACCTGAAAATTCTTAAGATTGGACTCTTTCAATTCTTGATAATTTCAACTTCAGTGCAAGCAGGGCTGGAGAGCTGGTTCGAAATCATATTGGCTCCATCTCACATTATATTCAAACTGTTGCCCCAGTTCAGGCGCTTCATTTTTCTATGTTTAGATGACTCTTTAACATTAAAAGGATCCACTGAAAGGCACTGAATAGCTTTCCGGTTCGCCTAAGATTTTAACATAGTTTATTATAAACACCACACCATCACAGCACTATTTTTTTAGTTGGTCAACACCCAAAAGCACCTCTTTCAACAATTTTTATCAGTCATTTAATGTTCGAACAAAGTCATCATTCAAACGACCTGTTTATTCTAATCACAATTTTCCTTTACCATTTGCAGTGTTATTCCTACAATCACTTCATTTTCTTGTTACACATAAGAACGATGTTTTTTTTCATCTGTATGACCCCTCTTTAAAATAAACTCATTGTTGTCACTGTTATTCACAAATTTATTTATTTGAAGTTATTGCCCGATTCTGTATCGTGTATTTTTGTTTTATTGAGTTATTTGACTGTTTTTGGTGGACGGGCGCGTATTTTCACGTTTTTAACTTTTCTTTAAGTTATGCCCGTCCTCCAGGTCCTCTGTGTTTTGTGTTTGTTCGTTTGTTATTGTTTTGTTTTATACCAGAGCGACCGAAATAAAATTGATTGATTGATTGATTGATAGCCGTCTACTTTTATGCTATACCGGTAGTCTATCTCTTTTTACCCGAATTTTTTTTGTAAAAGTACCGGTACCGGTAGGTGGCAAGTGTTGGTCTGATGTTTACTTTATTATTTTTTTTTAATGTTTTTGCTGGACGGGCGCGTTTTGTTTTATCCGACGGTGTGGCTCATCGTGCTAAGCGTTAGGAATATGCTTTCCACTGCACCTCTGATTACTCTGCGTGGGTTCGCAGGTTGGAATCCCATGCGGGGATGGTCATACATTGTGCGAGAGGATTGCTGGACTCCTCGCCGCTGTAGGGTGGTTCATGTAACCGCGGGTCGGTTACGGCCTTCCTCCACCATCAAGTCCATGCTTCCGAAAACAAATAACTAACTAATCCCATACCTGACATGGAATGCTAACCGGACAAGAGGCCGGGTCTCGTGTAGTTTCGTACCTAACGTACTCCTAATGGGCCTAGCATAAAAAAATTTTGATATGTCAATCCTAACCCCCATCTGACTACGCCATCCAAAAATTACGTCACTACGACATCACAATCACGTCATAGAGCTTGCCAAATATACGTACGATCGCCCGAAATGGCATCGGCGCCAACGATAAAGAACTGACTAACACCATCGATCTCTCTCCTATTGGGATCATTGCACCATGAAAACAAGAGAAATAACTGTACAATTTCGGGTGCTTGCTGCGCGTTTTGGATGTCAGTTCAAATAGTTTGAAGGGCTCTACGTCACTGTGACGTCGTAGTGACATAATTTTTGAATGATGTAGTCAGGTGGGGGTTAGGATTGACACATGGAAAAATTGTTATGCTACGACTACTAGAAATATGTTAGGTACGAAACTACATGAGACCCCAAGAGTTCGTGGTTCGCCATATGGTTAAGTCGCCTTATTAACTTTCCTCTCCCCCGGGATAAATATGTAAATCCGATCCGATGTTAGAGTGACCAAAATAAAATTAATTGAAAAATGAATTAGAATATCTCTGTAATTAGGTTTATGGCTGTATGAAGTTGACAAACACAAATTTGCCCTGATCGCAAGGTGGCAAACCACCACAGCATTTTGGCTATACCTATTGCTTGTAGTATTAAACCTTACTTCCGATTCAATAATCAATCCTAATTTAATTGTTTTCAATGTCTGTCATGCTGATCATGGAGTCGTAATACACATATAAATATAACTTCGCAGAATATCAACATGATGATGTTTTTAGATCGCTATAGCAGAGATCGGAGAAAACGTAGTCGATCTCCATATCAAGGTGGATCAAATAGAAGACATCGATCCAGATCACCAAGAAGAAGACAAAGATCAAAATCAAGAACTCCTCCACCAAGAAGGCCTCGCTCACCTTTTGGGAGACAATATCAGTAAGAAAAATCAAGTTTTCTGCACAAGCATGGAGAACTATCTTGTTCTTGTCTCAGAATATGGCCATATTGTGTTTATTGGAGAATACTGAATATGAATCTTGTAAAACCCTACAACTTTGAAGTTTATGATATATTATTTATATTGTATTTCTCATTGCACCTATGATATTTTATTTAGTAGTGGCTAAGGTGATGGTCTCAACTATGTTGTGATTGCAGGTTCAAAACCTCAGTTTCAGTTTGAATTGGAAAGATTCTGGTCATTCCAACAATACTAGCTTTTTACAGTTCAGTGGCTGATTTGTAGACTCTTGTTTGGAATGAAATATTACAAAAATCATAGTATGAAACAAAATTTGTTGTAAACTGATTGTCTGAAGTAGTCTGACTTGGTCAGACAAACATTACAGAAATACATTTGTGTTAGTGTGCATCAAGTCTCTTGAATTACATACGGTAGTAAAATTTTATTTCGTTGGAAAAAAAAATACTGTCAAATGTTCCTATGTGAATTATTACAAAAACATACCAGATAAAAACTAAACTTGTATTTACATAAAAATATTACAGTGGACGGAAGCCAGAAGAAGAAGCACACAGAGTACCAGCGAATCCAGCAAATATAACACTGGGTGGAAGTTTAGGGGTGACTGGAGGAAAGAAAAAAGCAAAGAAGAAGAAATTACAGAATCAACAGTTGCGTGAGTCAATTCTAGTGTAATTTTCCAAGTCAAGTCATGAATGTTTGCACCTAGTTCCCTTCATAGGCCATGTATTGAAATAGATCAAGGTTTTTCAAACTGGGGTCCCCAGACCCCTGAGGGTCGAGATGACTGCGGGGTACGCAGCGATATGAAAAAGAGTCTCATCAATCGTTAATAATGATGGATTTCAATCAAAAGCCATTGCATATTTTTGGTTAAGCATTGCGGACGAATATCCATTGTTATGCTATCAGAAAAGGCAATCAAAATTTTATTTCCGTTTGTAACGACCTACATGTGTGAGGCTGCATTTTCAACTCTTAGCAATATGATCACGAAATTCAGGTTGCAACTTGCCGTAGAGTCAAATCTACGAGTTTGCTTGTCTCAAATTGCTCCAGGGATCATTAAATTGTGCAGTGAAAAGCAAACCCATCTATCACATTAATGTCAATTGTGTTGTGAATGAAAAATTATCCTTTCTCGTTGATCCTTTTGAAACTCGCTAACTGTATGTCCTTCAGCAACCAAAACGGGTTTACTCCGTTCATAGTAGATGATTGTCTATTGGTGGGTTGGGATTTCAAATTATGGTAAAACTTATTTATAGTAATGGCAAACATGTCGGAAGATATGACAGATGAAGATAAGATGATGCAACAAATTATGGGATTCCAAGGATTTGACACAACGAAGGTAATTTTGTATCAAACTACTTTTTAATTAAATGAATTTACTTAAGAGCCTTTGTTAAAAATTCGAAATAATTGCGGTGCTTTAGGAGAAAAATGATTTTCAAGAATGCAGATGTTGAAATATTTGATGTTTAAAGTGTAAACTTTTTATTTTTCTGCCATTAGAGTCAAGTAAATGTTGTTCAAATTCCATGCCTGCCTGTCTGCCCAGGGTGTGATAAATTGTGTAGGCCAGTGGTTCTTAAAAAGAGAGAGAGATTTATTGATTCGTCAACCAAAACAAATATAAATATGAGAGCATAAATACAAATAAGTAAACGCTGTTTATGGTAAAGACTGGAGGGAGCGATATGACCATACGGTCATCCAAGTCAGCTCCCCCCATACCATTCTTGATTTGCAGACTGTAGGCTTGCACGTAATTTACGGATTTACGGAATTACGTAATTATTTGGAGTTACGGAAGGAAAGTTACGAATTACGTAAAGTCGTAATTATTGCATTGAAACGAGCTTTCTTCAAAGCAGTCAATTTCGTCGATTGCGAAAAATGAAAGCTCAACAAGTAGAAGAAGTTAGAGTTCCGGTATTCGCAGCCGTTTTTCTTTTCTCTCTCTTGTTACGTAGGTGAAGGAAGGCATGACGCGTTGCCATTTACTAACCTATTATCAACTTCTCTGGCATGGCCAATGTAAATTATTAACGTAGTTAAGGGGGAAGAACTGAGTAGGGCCGTTTGACGCCAACACACCTGGTTTTAACTTCTCCCGTAACTTAACCGTAGATAAGGGATAGAATTGCGTTGAGACCGATTGACGCCAACACACCTGGTTTCAACTTCTCTCGCATCTTATCTAGCATGGCCATGGCCAATGTACATAATAACCGTAGATAGGGGGAAGAATTGTGTTAAGACCGATGGACGCTAACACGCCCGGTTTCAACTTCTTCGGGTGAAATGACTAATGAACGCAGGAGATCAATCTTTCAAACATGGTCTATCAAACATTTGTATCCATTTTACTTTTATTTATTATTTACTTGTTCCAGTTTTCCGTTACTTATGGTATATATGTTCCGTTTCTATTTTATAGTCACGCGTTTAAATAGTGGGAATTCCCCACCAAGTGTGGATTAGCAATGCTTAACCATTCTTTATTGTTAATATCAACACTTGATATATGAACATGGAATATCATACTGTTTTTGGCTGTTTTATTTCAGACTTGGGGTATAAACAGGAAAATATCCATAACCTTTCAACACGACGATCTTGTGAAATTTAACGAAGAGCTTTCGCGACGAATTGGAACCAAATAAGCGAAAAGAGCGATTGATCACTCGCGCCAATACCTCGCCGTGATAATTAATGTCGCGCTTATCAAATAGCAATATGACGACAAAAGAGAGATTGCGTAATGAACCAACGCAACTTCGTCTTCTCGGCATCGGTAAAGCGATTGAGACGGCAGAGAAACAGCAAAACGACGGATTCCTCGCGGACCGCTAAAAATTTAACTGCTATCATATATAATCAAATATGAGCCAGTGTGTTTATTCTGTGCGAGATCCATTTTCTATTACAAAATCTTGATGTTCTGTTAACGGTTTTATCGTTATATATCAGTCCGGACTTGGCCTTGCTCATGATGTTTTTCACAATTCCTCTCAATATTTCGGCCATATATGATTAACTGTCTTACCAAATGCGGCAACTTATTTTGATTTATCGTCGACTTGAATACCACCGGCACTCGACCAAACTTGTGTCAATCTTGGCCGATAGGATCGCCGACTTGAGTTAGCAAATAAATGTCGTGAGTGTAAAATAAATGTCACAAAATGCATTGTTTTGCGATATAACTTTGTATTTTCGGAGAAGGCATATCATATAAGTTCATATTTAAATTATACTCAAATAAATAATATTTGATCTAAATTTATCGCAAATAATGTTATAAACATTCAGTCCGCGAAATGATTAAATGTAAAATGAAGCATGGTAATCGGAATATCGTCAATAAGTCGACATCAATAATTATTATTATAAAATGCTAACAAGGCAGTAATGTCGGATAATGCAGAAGACGCTGCAAAAACAAGTCTTCGTCGCGAGGAAATCGCAAGTATAATCAAACGAGAGAATACGCTCGTCGTTGGTTAATAAATTAGAAACCCGTAATTTTTATTCAGTACTAAGGTGGTTTTAAAAAACTATCGTTTCCATAAATATCCGTATACCAGTGTCGGTAATGATAAAATAAAATTGATCGCATAAAAATGGGACGGTTAATTTGCGAAGGTGATAAAGGAAAACCAAAGCTAACACAAAAGCTAAAAATCAGAATAAAATTAATTTGAATTCACTCCTTGATATTTGTATTTAACATCTGCCGCCGGCGTGTAGTACTGCCAAGAATATGAAAACCCAACTTCAATGTCCCCTTCGGAAAAGAAGTGGATTCAATTGGTTGTTATGATAGGTTTAAATGCGTGGAAAAATATCGCAATTACGGGGTCATTACGTAATTGATTTTGCCGTAATTACGGAATTGATTTTTGTCAATTACGTGCAAGCCTAGCAGACTGGTAAAATTTTAAAACTAATTTCTCGGACCGGTAAACCTTCAAAATCAACCCAGAATGTCAAAAACACAAAACATGATTGAAAGAATGTAATTGCGACAAAAGTATGCAATTCAAAGACAGACAATTCAATTTATAGATAAATTTGCTGCTGTCTTTCTGATATCATGTGTGGTAAATGCAGTTCGAATGAAGTTCCTGTCGTTCCATTCTCTGAGATGGGTCCCTCTGAACAAGTTTGGTTTACACATCAATAGAAGATAAAACTCGCAAAATAAATGAACAGGCCATCAATTTCTTGCAATTGAGATATAAAAATGTAATATATTTGGCAGCAGTAAGGTTGATGAGAACCGGGAGAACCACTGGTGTAGGCAATGCTGAGCCTGAAAGATTCTGATCATTACAAATTATGACAGCTTGTACAGAGCCTTTTTGAGTACATGTCATAGTTTGAGTAAATATATAGAAGCTGATTAATTTGACAACCAAAAGACTGATGGGATTAACTTACACACTTATAGTTTAATTCACACGTACAGTTCGTGACAGCTGTGGTTTGTTTTTGAGGTCTTGCTTATCAGAAAAGTGGCATTTATCTATATTTTTGCAACTATAATGCACATACAGTAATTTTATATTACTCATTAACCAGCTGCCATGCTAATGGTTTACCTTTTATTTTCAGAATAAAAAAGTTGAAGGAAACAATGTTTATGCAATTAATAAGAAAGTTGAAAGAAAATATAGGTGAGACATAAGATAAATGGGCCTAAATAAATGGTTCTAAATGTTTTTTGTTAAATTCCTGCCTTTGTCTTTTTTTGAAACTCTTTATCCCTCCTTCACTGTGTGTAAGACCCTGTCTTCATTATTTGTTTTTGATAGATCTATGCGCAAGTCACACTTCCGCTTTTGTACAGTTTTGAAGGCTTATAATATATATTAGTAAATAGGTACCGGTATTATAGCACTGGTTCTCAACCTTTTACTGACCGCGTACCACTTTAGTGTTTTTACTCTGACTGCACACCACTGACAAAACCGCTTTTGTGGCGGGTAACAATGGCACGAGAAATGCGCTATGGTAATATTTTGCGTCAGAGCTGAAAGGCTTTATTCATCGCTACCACTGAATTATCGCAAAACTCTGACAAATACACTCTGGTCTGCACTAGCCGAACTGCCTAACCTAGTTTTCTAAAAGTCAAGATTATGCCGATCAACCAACACATACATCAGGCAGTAATATTAACATCTTTATAATGTATCTAGGCTCTATCAGGGTATCTTGACACACGTCGACTACTCCCTCCGAAATCCGAATACTTCCTTCGTTGCCGAATTCTCAATGCATATGCATTGTAACACGCAAAACGGGCGAAAATATGTCCGTCGTTCCTTTTTAGGTGGGAAGTAGCGAGCGAAGGCGCTCTATAAAAAGGACTGGTAACACTATTCAGCGAATACATTCAACAATGGAAGGTAAAGAGATAGCACTTCTGCCATATTTAAGCCACCTCCAAAGTCGGTTGTTGCAATAATTCAAAGCTTCTCATTCTCACTTGAAAAGCCCCCGCCACAGGTTGAGAACCACTGTATTATAGTATTAACAAGCAACTAAAGAATACGAGTAACACTACTGAAGCCACAAAGCAAGATTCCTCCCAAAAAAAGACAAAATTCCGCCCCGGTTGGGAAAAGATGATTTCAGTCAATATATTTTGTTAGCATAATGAACTTCAACGTATGCTTTAACAAACTAGATAGTAACGACCTTAGCCTTTATTAGAAATCTGTTTCCAAAGAATGATTTGCATCAAGTAAAATCCATATCTAAGTCTGAGTATATCAACCAGAGGAGGGACATCCACTCCAGGAATAAATTTTGTTGTTTTGGGGAGAGAATATGTGGATATTACTTTGTATTTGGTGTAGTTATACTAATTATTGTAATACGTATTTAAGGTTATGCAAAGCCACAGCATGGCGAGTTGCCGGTATTACGTACTAATGATATTTTAAAGGTTGAACAAATAACGGACATACCTAGTTTTTTCATGCAAAGTGAGAGAAGAATAAAAAGATCCGAATCAGGCAAAGAGATGGAATGTATCGTACTAGCTTCAATGAGGCAGAGTCTCCCCTATACACTATAATCCAAATTATGCTTTATTTAACAAATTTGGGTACTCCTGCAGTGTTTGTACCACGTTAGGGTTTATTCTAATTTTAGTTCTATTTCGAGTTGGCGACTGTCTCTGTTAGCCAAGTGAATATATGCCCATAGGAATTAAGGGACCCTTAATATAACTTGTTGTAAAGTAGGCGAACAAAATTAGTTACCTCCATATTGGTACGCATACGTCTGTTGCGCCTAAATTTGCATATAATTTATTAGAGTTGATATAATATATTCGACTAAACCCATTCTTTTTCAGGCAATATATGAACAGAAAAGGTGGATTCAACAGACCCCTAGAATTCATGCCATGATATTGCCAAGATTCGAACTATGTGATCCTTCGATACCACTTTATCTGAAGGACAAACTATGTCATTCAAACAGAAGAATGTGCTTGTGAAACTGGGTAATGTTATCTAATTACCAACACAATAAAGAAGTAGACTTGTGGTTATGATATTTATCATTGTCTTCATTCTCTGGATTAGGAAAAATTCTGACTGCGCATCTCTAGGTTATATTTGTAAAACTATTTCCCCAGTTGAACAGTTTAAAAAATGTGGCTAGGGCAATGTAAAGGAGTCAATCGTTGACATCAGAATTCTGGCTGTGGTAGTATTTTTCAATGCTGGAATGGCTGAAACCATATAAATATAATCTTCCATTGAGAGGTGGCCATAACTGTATAATCTACCACTTGGAATTCATTTTTTACAATCTTCATGAATCGAATGTTGTTTTGGTTATACTGTTAGACTTTTTTTTGCTCAAAATAATAATTTAAAATATTGAATCTGAATAATTTCCAATCTACTCGTTTTGGCATCCCCATTCATATCTCTTCAACATACATGTGCTGAGAATGAAGTTTCGTGTTTTTATATATTTTATTTACTGCTTGAAAATAATAAATCCACGCTTTCCATCTTTGTTTACTGAACTTCATTTGAATATGTGCACCCCGCTCCAAAACTCGAGAGCAGTTTTGTGGCGACTATTGGTTGACAATAATTCAGATGCCAGTTCCCAACTCACAATTGTCTGAAGAATTTGGGTCGCTATTAATAGAGTCTAATAATTAAACTCAATGAAAATACAGCTCCGTTTTCATACTGAACTGCACTCCACCCTGTGTGTGAATAAGTCCAATGATCAAGATTACATCACCACATGGTTCGCTGGCTTTGATAACCTACCTTGACCAATTGAAGAAGTGCTAAATTTGGGACTGCTGGTATTGAATGTGGTCTTACAAACATGATTTTGATCTGTCCTTACATGGTGTACCATTACATCAACATTTCTTTAGAACAGTGGTTCCCAAACTTTTTGAAAAAAATTGCATGACGGACGGAACTTACAACTTTTTAATGATTCCCGGCCTTGTACACTAAAACAAAACATTAAAGGATCACAACAAAAAATCAATGTGCCGTATAGTGAAACGAACAAAAGAGTTTAAAGCACAACTTTAATGGCATGAGTGACTAAAGGGCAGCTTCAGATCTGCAATTAGTAAACTTGTGGTGGCATGAATTGAACTCTGTGATATCACAGGCCCAAAGCTCTGTGACATCACAATGGGGCAGCGCAATCGAAACAGAAAGTGAAGAATCGGCGTCTCCAGCAGTGATTGCGAAGCAGCAAAAGGCAACAAATGTGTGTTTGCAAATTTAAGCACTTCCTTTTTGTATTATCAAGCTATTAGCCATATTACAGTTTTGTTTCGCGGACCCTCCAAAATTGCTTCACTGACCACAAAAGGTCGCGGGCCCCAGTTTGAGAACCACTGGTTTAGAAGTGGGGACAGGTGCTTAAAGGTTAGATGTTAAGGTTAAGATGTTGATAAACCCCATGGTGGAAGACTTAAGCTTAGCCAAGAGGAAAAATAATTCTAATAATTTCTACATTTCCATGGATGCAGTGCATTGTTTGAAGTAAATGGATTGAAAAGCATCACGTTAGAAAAATGAACATAGGAGCCACAGAACCAATCATACATGCGTTACCATACCATTAATGATGCATCTCTGGAAGTGGCCCAACATGCATCGCTTTGTGTCTGTCATATCTCTTTCCGTGTACTTTCGTTTAGAAAATTCATTATGTGTCTATATTTTTAACATTAAAGTTTATTATGAGTTTAAAATTAAAAGGTTAGGCTATCTTATTTCCTCAATAATAACTTTCTTTTTCTTCGGTTCCCTTGCCAGGCTTCTTGATTTATTAGTAGCCTCTTTATGAGATTCATGTTCTTTATGAAACTTCAATCTATCTTTGTAAATACCAAAAACCTCTAATGCTAAAGGAAGGAATCGCACGTTATAGTCTGTTATCCAAGCTAAAAGAAATTCTATTTTTTTCATGATTTTGAAAATGTCTTTCGAGTCAATGTTGCTACAGAATTCTTTTTTCTTTATACTCCTTTTGAGTGATTTACATGTAGTATGAAGTTCTGAAATTCCCGCTATTGAATAATTGGAAGGGTCATCTTTGTGAGATCCAAGCAAGATGTGATAAGTGTCTAAAATGGTCTCAACACCTTCTCTTTCTGTACTATTCAATTCCCTTTGTACTGTTGTACATCCATCCATGGCAGATTGGACCGATTCAGAGCAACTCTGTAATGTAATTCCTTTACTCAAAAAGGTAGATGCTGAAATTATATCATGAGCAAATTCACATGGAATTTCATTCATGTTTCCATTGTATCGGCGACAAAAATATGCGTAGCAGAAAAGAACATTGACAAGATTGTTTCCCACTAGAATAGAAGGATTGCTACCTTGTAGAAGATCTTCGATACTCTTCACTTGCAGATTATATTGTGGTACAGGACTCCTATCTTTTGTGTTCTGCTTTACTGAATCTGTAGTAAACATATTAGTAACATCAAAACCTCTTCAAGTTAAATCACAATGTGTAAAACCAACTATTATTTGTGTGAATTCCTATTGCTTGTGGCTTGTAACTCATCAAGGGTATGATAAACTAGCTAGTCAATGGGACATTGAACATATTGAATATATATAATCATCAAAAGACCAGAGATAGCATCGTAAAAACATTGTTTATAATAGATATAATACTTTTATGGGTTTCCTGCTCCCTGGCAATTTGAGGTTGAAAATCACGGAGATAGATATGTAATGTCAAGCTGCAAAAATTGTGATCCTAGCCACTTAGAAATTAGCAGATGCATGTCAAGATTCTGTTGAAGCACGAACTTTTGAAACATCTTATAATTAATATATTATATGTACCTATTTCTGTAACAAGGTTTGTGTCATGGTACAACCACCATGGCGACCATTCTTTTACCAAGCTTCCATTTTGCATATTTCTTTTGAACTCCTCCCGTTCATCAGGAGTGAGCCGACTCCAAACTTCATCACTGTCATCTAAATTCACGTTCTTCAATCTTTCTTCTAATATTTCTGTAGGATCGTCGTCTTTCTTCTAGTAAATATCACATATTGGAAGGAAGATTAATATTTCAATAGTCTGCTTATTTGTCAGCAAGGTGGCCTAGTGATGAAAGTGTTAAACCTCGATCTTTACAAAATATGGTTGCTTTATTAAAGCCTTGTTTGGAGCCAAAGATATATGGATACAGCATATAAAAATTTCAGAATATGACTTACAAAACACATTATAAAACTTACGAAGGACCTTAAATATTGTCTAATATTTACAATAAATTCATACATTTTCGTCTTCAAAATTTTTCAGCATTTTCATAATTCTTAATTTTTCTGCATCACTTGCTCGACTTTGCTTCATTTCTTGGACAAAACAATCTTTATAGAAAGATTCTGAACATCCAGAATGTGTTTGGTGTTTGAAACATCCGAGAGAGCAATAAGAAACATTGCATCGAGGACATGTGTATTTTCCTGCGGCTTCTTTACATATTCCACATTGCTTCTGAAGCGCTAGAAATGGGGATAGAAAGGTAAATAGATATTTTTACTAGTTCAAAGAAAGCAATCAAATTTTAAAAATATCCCAGTAAACTATCATCATTTTACAAGTCGATTGTATCTTTGCCCCCCTATCTATATTCCAGTGCCACACTCCCATTACAGCATTATAAAAATAAAAACTTATAATATCCGAAAATCGGAAAATGCAGTACGGTATCAGGAAATTTCCTGAATGCTTTACATGTAGCCTATTATAGGTCCCTGCTAACATGAGTTCCCGTGTTTATTTAGACTCTATACAGCCATAATCATCATAACATGCGATAAAATAATTGGTGAAAATAAAAAATATTACAGAATACCGGTACCGGTACTAAACAAAACCTAAATTTTAAAACACAGAACAACACTTTTATCGTATCTTTAAAAGATAAGCATGATTGTCATTCCTAAAATGGTTTAAATCAGTTTTCATTTCATACCTGAGATTGCAACATCACTACTGTAAGCCGTCAATCGAATCTCCGAATCCATCCCGTTCTGATATCATCCGCCAACAACAAAGTATGGGAAACGTAAACAAAACGTTCGCATGTTCACGTAACTCTAGCATGACGTGATACCACAGAGGTGTAAATGATCGGACAATTGTACTCAGGCTTACCAGTACTTGTTCTATCGGCGCGATGTGGGAAACATAATAAAACGTTCTGTATGTTCATGCAGCTAAAGCACGAAGCGATACGGCAGAGGTAAATTGAACAAACTATTAGTAATTGCCTTAGTCCTGCTTGTTGGGTTGGTTCGATTTTGTTCGCATTTGGTAATCAGCGTCAATGATATGGAAGCCGCCGAATATCAACCATTGACTGGTAATGCACTTACCACAGCTAATTATCAGGAATACTTTTTGCAAGGAAGTATTTTGGAGGCTGAATGCAGCAAGCTTCTTGATCGATTGCAAGGTTAGTGTCAACACAGCAAGAGCTGAAGAGAGTTTCTTCAACTTTCAAACTTTATAATATGGTATTGTTTTGCTATTACAGTCAGACAGTATTATCTTATTGGTAGACGGGTGATTGAAATTGGTTTAACCCCTCCAATTTCGTCGGGAAATACCGACGTCTCGTATGGATTTCTGTTGTTCAATCCCACTGGGACAGTTTAATCCCAAGAATAAATACTATTGGCACACGTAGACTATTTCCCAGAATGGAAAAAAAAAAATGATGAGGAACAACATGAATCCAAGTAAAGCGTACATATAAACTTAATCTGCATTGTTTTTGATGTAAATTTTAACTTCTAAGTGCGTTGTTGCCTTGTTATAAATCGATATTGAAAGAGTTAAACCGTGCTATAAGTTTAGCATGAATAGGCGACAAATACAGAGATTTATTGATAGATCATAATCTGATATATTTGTTATGATAACACACTTATCTCACAATTAACTTCGAATTATACTCTAATACCAATTTGCTCTGAAGGTGATTTAGAATTTGACCCTAGATATTCATGTTTCATTGCTGTATCCATTATTGATTAGGTCTTATGAAGAATGATCCTTACATCTGCGACACTTTAACCTTTTCCTAGCATACTTTATTTGGTCTGTCCATATCTTTATGCATCATATTTGGTCATCTTTTATTATGTGCTACTTAATTTTGGTTAGTACTTATCGTTTAGGTTTATGTGATAACGTTCCAAGAGAGCAATTCACAGATCATGAGAGAACATTCGTGATCAAAAATCCCAATTCATCAGCTGTGATGGTGAAAGCATGCAAGGCATTTCAAAAAGCAGATGTCCCTTGGTAAGTATTTGGCAATAACATTGTAAAAACATAAAATATTATTCTATGTTTATTTATGAAAAATGCCCTTCAATCAAACTATTGGAAAAAGCTCTATTTTATGATGGTAGTGAGCAAAAGTTTTATTTTAAGTTTTTTTGAGCTCTCTCATAAAAAATATAAGTTCAGACAAAAGGCTTGTATGAATTTATTCGTTTCACTAAGATTGTCGTGATGTAGTGGGTGAATGGGACAAGCGCTTGCTCATTTCCCTGACCTTTTTGTCGTCATTGTCTGTGTTTTTTGTTATTTTTTGTTCGTGTTCTGTGTTGTAAACGAAAAATCGAAATGAAATTGTATCATATTAAATTCAAAAACAGTATTAATAAAAAAACTATTGTGAACTTTGTTAGTAATAGAAATCTATAGCTAGTACATAATCTATTTGATGTATCTTCATGAAATATACAATTTAATACTGGCCCAGTGGCTCAGTGATTGAGGAGTAAGACTTTGCTATGACGTCATTGCGTGTCCGAACTCATGCCCACTACCTCACTCAGGCTGTAATTAATTGGGTGGGAAAAGCCAAACTGGAAAGATTCTGGTAATATCTCATTACCTAGCTATGGCTGTGTGCAAAACCTTGTATAGAGCAAAAGCCGTATAACAAAAAAAAATTACACAATGCTACCTGTATTAGCAATTATGAATTACTGTAAGTTAAAATATTTGAATTTTTAGGCAAATGAAATACATTGGCACAACAGAAGCAGGTGACAGAAGTAAAAGTTCATTGATAAGAAGTTGTGTGACTGTTGCTGTATCGAAAGATCCAACACAGTTTTTAGAAGAATTGGGATTCAAGTAGGTTAAAATTAAACTTTATTTACAAACCCGCATACTGAACTATGTATATTTTCGAATTTGGACAATCTTATTTATTTTACATGCAAGATCTGCTATACACTTTGCTCAAATTACAGGACTCTTTGCCCCTTTGTGTAACCGCTTGCTGGTAAGGGATTTCTCTACCACCATAGTTCATGCATATAAAACTATCTACTGGTCAGCTTTTCCAAGAGTTGATCTGGACCAGAATTATGGTTCGTCATATGATTGAGCTGTTTTATAGGATTTTCTCTCCCGGGGATAAGTATGAGAAACATATCCCACAATCACCTGGCATAATGTGCCAAACTATATTGTCAGGGAAGAAAATCAAATAACTCGAATTTATTGATTCTTTTTTAGTTCAAACAGAATTTTGTTTATTACAGTGTGTACATAAAAGATGATATTGCAATATTTCCACTCAAGCCTGGAAAAGTTTGTTTAAAAAATGTATATGATTGTCAAACATGCTCTGCTTTATGGGGTTATCAAAATTTTAAATGACCCAATAATCTATAAAGTTAGATAATCATTTGGTATTCCCATTGATACAAAAATTTCAATTAATTAAAGTACTATATATTTTAATCCAGGTTACAGCATGAAATTGTTGCCAAGGGATATTTTTTTCGCAAAGGCAGGATCAAGATAACAGTTTCCAAGCTTCATAGAGTAAGTATAGGGGTGTAATAAATCAACACGTACTATTCCATTTCACCATTTCATAAATCACGCAGGGCTGGCCATTAACCAAAATATTACTTCCCAATATAGAATATTGAATATATTTAAAATTGATTTATTTTTTACAGAGAAAATAATATGCTATATCTGGGTCCAGGTTTCTTATATGTGTCTGTACTTTTCATCGCCAAGTCAGACTTTCTTTCATTCATCGCTAACCATCAATAATGCATATCTATAAATGTATAAACTTCTTTCCAAATATTGGTAGTCTTCATTTCTCACATACTTCTGATATCTTTAGAGTTTTAATTTTTTTTTGCTTGATAATTATAAATAACAATACATATAGATCAGGGGTCTCCAACTCAAAAAATGTCGCAGGCCACTTTTGGAAATTTATCGACCACGCGGGCCGCAAACCAAGAAATTAGGTACAAAATTGGTATCTGAATATATTGTGTTGAAATTACACTTGAATTGTACAGCAAACTAAACATGAAACATATTCATTTATTTGTGCTGGATATTTGGTATCAATGTTTGGCTTATTTTGCGTTGGTTTGCTTATCTTTAGACAGCATGCAAATGCTCGTCCGTTGGTCATGTGCTGAGGGCTTACTTTCATAGTTGCAAAAAAACTGCTCGCAAATATAAGAACTGCCAAACATCGCAGGTATGCAACGTGAATGTGCAATTAGCTTCGCAAACCTTCTCGGGCACAATGGACTGATCGAAACCAGTTCAATTCGTCACAAAGAACATGCGAAATGAAATTATTGTATTTATAATTGAATTATAACATTAACAATATAGAATACGAGAATATCGGTTGGAAACCGAAGACTTATCGATCGATAGTTAGGGGATCCCCCAAAACAGAAACTGCAGTTTCGATTCATCCGCTCTTGTAACTTGCACACTGCGCATCGCACACACACACTCGGCGGGTCTCAAAATTCTCTCGCTTTACAAAAATCTAGATCACTATATCAATAATTGATTGATAACTTGCTAATTATACAACATAATTCGCCCAAAATCAATAGGCTTCTGGTCCGAGATAAGATGAATGCACATGCAAAATCTGGAGCAGATTCAATCTCGCTTTCGTGAGATATCGCGTGCATCTAACAGACTGACATACAGACATAGAGACAAATACCTATCAACATACTCACAGATTAAAATCGATAAGTAATAAAACATGAAGATGGTAGTGTGGAATAACAGGGGAAAATATTTGCTTCACTTTTTACAGTTCGTCGGACCAGACTCTTGATGATGAATGACACGATAAAATTTACTAATAGTTGACATCGTACTATTTTAGTTTTTTGTGGAAAAATCCCAACCGTGACGCGGGTCGCAAAAATATGCCTGGCGGACCGCGTGTTGTAGACCCCTAATATTTATGCACAAATATAAATGTAATTTACGATTATAATATTTTCCCAGTGATCATGTTAGTTTATGCAAAAAGACATGTGTAAATTACAACTATTTTTTATCAGTTATCATCCGCTCAAGAACCAAGTAAACTGGACGTTATTTCTCAATCTCATCTTGTCGAAGTTTGTGTTCTTGCTCCAGTTGGTCAAGAACGAGCAGGCGAGGAAGTTCGACAATTTTGTGAACATTTAAAACCACTTATAGTATTTGATGTTGACCACAGGAAGATTCATCAAATGGCCACAAGTTGAATTCAAATATCCAAATGCAAATGCAAATAATGCTATACATGGGCAAACTATGACCCGCGTGCCAAATCCGGCCCGTTGAGTAATTCAATCTGGCCCGCCTGATGCTGCCACAACCAAACTAAAACCAAATTTTGATGTTTTAGCCCAAGGAATTTGTTGCGATTTGGATTGAATTTAGTTTTGGCACCGAGCTCATTGTTTTCCACTTTTGCTTTTGTAACACTCGAAATATTGTTTATAAAATGTAACTTTCATGTCACACATATATGGCCCGCCAGAACAAAACTAAAATCAAATTTTGATGTTTTAGCTAAATATAGCCCAAGGAATTTGTTGAGTTTGGAATTAAATTTAGTTTTGGCACGGAGCTCATTGTTTTCCACTTTTGCTTTTGTAACACTCTAAATATTGTTTATAAAATGTAACTTTTACGTCACACATATATGGCCCCGCCAGTCTAAGTAGGAAACATTTTTGGCCCTTGGTCCAAAAAATAGGCTCACCCCTGGGCTATAGGTTCAGGCTTACCAAACGCCAAACGTCCGGTTTTGACAAACTTCACTGGCGTCAAGTCAGGTGCACTTAAATGTCCCAGTCATGGGTCATGCAGTGAATTGTGTAACTCTCTTCACTAGTTCAGTGATAGTGAGAAAACAGCTATATTGTGAGTCATGAATGTATGTTTAATATGTCAATTTAACATCCACATTAGCCGTACTGCCATTGAATTATTCCTAATGATGATAAGAACGTGCACTTTTTTCAATGATTTGAATATTACTAAGCGTCGAATCGAACCTAAGGTTTGTCCAATTCGCACTGTCCCGTTTTTTTTGTTTCATAAATATGGTAAGCCTATATCAGATATAGGGTTACCATTTTTTTTTGACTCCAAATACACGACCCCTTGGCTGTGATCCTTTAACTTTACATTTTCCGATTTTACTACATAGGCCTACATTTAAAGTCTGCATTGACCATATTGTCATTGAAAGTGCATGCGCATATTATCTGTCTAAATATCGGGTTCAAAAGAATTTACTTATTCGCCCAAGCATGCTTTTCTGTAGATAACACCTTCAAAAAGATCAGGACGACAAGTATGGAATCCAGCTCAATTGCCTTCATACCCAGACTATGCCGACGGAAGTTTATGGATCAATTCTCTTTGCCATAGAGGTCACCACTTTATGTACCACATTAGGAGGTAGACTTCCCTTCATCACATCTGCTATGTTAGAGATGGTATTATCGAATTTTGTTGAGTGGGCGTTTTAATAGAAGTGATATCTAGGGGCCGAATTGAAAGTCCAGGGTATAGAAATTTGATTTTTGTGAATCAGAAATTACTCATTTTTTCTTTTTCCGTACTAACTTAACTTCCGAGGAAGTTGAGAAAGATGAAGTGGTTTCGTCACGGTATCTTTTATTGTCCAATGTTGGTCGAGTTGAGTCCGGAGTCTTTGGGTTTGATTCATTGTATTCAAGGTTGGCTGGAGCTGAGGATGTTTCCTCCGGTGTGGTGTCGAAAACGGAGGTAGTTGATATTTCACGAGGCTCTATGTTGTGTAGCATTGCTTTCACATAGGCATTCCCTTTTAATGAAGGGTGGAAAGGTGTGTTGCCTATCGTTGAAGTCTGCTTCAGCCTCGATGACTGCCGGGTTGGTTTTTGTTGTGGTCGATTCGGTGGAGTCGACAGAGGGCTCGAGACGCTCCTCGCATCTTCGCACTCCGACCAGTTACTAATCTCCTTTAGGTCGTCAGATAAGGTGGAAGAGGTAAACTCGTGTATATCAGAGCCCAATTCAGTTTCCGGTATCATGTTGTCAAGCATGCTGTTAGTTGTGGTGCCGTTCGAGGTATTTCCCATAGTAAATGCAGTTTTTTTAAATTTTGGTCGTTCGTGGCTGGTATATCGGGTGTGTTTTGCGAAGTCTCTACAGGTTGTACGTCGTTTTGATGATTTTTGTTTTGTAATTCCGAAATCTTTGTTGAGGGTATTGATTGCACAGTGGCGTAGCATCCACCCCCGCGGTCGCGGGAGGGCCCACAGTGAAACGGGGCTCAAGCGGTTATAATTTAGAAATTTAAGCCGCAAAAGCTCTATTGCGAAACCAGTAATGCACATCTTATAACGTTGATGTTAGTTCTTCTCAAATCGTTTTGTTACGTAACAATGCCAGGGATTAGTCGATTCTGGGCGTTTTGTGGTTTGATCGCACTGGCAAAATTACGAAGGCTGTCAGAATGATGTCGAAAGCAAAACCTCTCAGTGGCGCACAGAAAGGGGCAGAAGAGGAGGCACGTATGAAAAGAATTTGAGTAACCAAGATATACGGCAAATTTTAGGTTACCATTGCCTTTAAATAGCGACATGTTAAGCTTTTTGACGAAATAAAAAAAGCGTTGTTTTAGCTTATGTCCAAGAGTTTTCACGGCCACACTCTGTGTAATTGTGACCCGCCTGCAAGCATCTTCCGCATGTTGGTACGTAAAATTCCCGGGGTAGGTAAGTTTTGCATCTGTTTCCGCCAACAGAGAAAGATTTATTGCCACAAAAACTAAATCAACACTAATATAAACATAATACAATAACGAAAATATTCCACAGTAATTGATTATTGCTTTGTGCGGGTCGGTGTGCAAGACCGATTAAAGTCATCTAGGATCCCGACCCTTGTGTATGTGCTATATATAAGTTCATCATAGGTGGATACAAATGAGATTAAATATATAAAAAATAAATACGAGGAAAAAGGAAACGAGTCGGCAGTTTAATGGTATTATGGAAGTTACTAAGGGCAATTTTGGATTTAGAGAGGTCATGTGTTGGTTGAAGCCGGACATGTCCAATGGAAAAATTTTCACGAAAATCATATTTTGTGTTATTGGACACAGACCGGGATCAAAAATGAATACCAATGACGAAAAATAATATTATCACAGATTCAGTAATAGACCGAGTGCATGATGTAAAAATATCATTATTTATCGATCTTGTATATCGATCTTTGTCTGTTTGTCTGTCCGCCAATAATCAGGTAGACCACCCTTCTCAAAATTTTCAATAAAAAAGGTAGTATGACCATTAAAAATTTACGTACCTTCATACCAGTTTCTGAATGCATTCTTCACGCTTCCACATCCAAGTTGTTCAATTTTTTATACGGCCTTGTATATATAATGTTTCCCCTGGTATCCCCCGAATAGATATTCGAGTTGGGACCTCGTTTGGCAGTGCGACTGTGATGTTACCGTCTGCTGTTCAAATTTGGCGAGTCGTATCTTCCAAAAATTGTTCGTGGCAGCTCGAGTTGGGATCTTCGGTGGCGGCGAAAGTGCAAATTCATTGCCCCTTTCGACCTTCGAAGAGTCCCGTTATGTTGTCGACAAACTTTCGGGTGGACGAGTCGTTCTTCAAGATGTCGAGAAGGCGAGAGAAGTCCAGATCTCGAGTGGTCGTCAGGAAGAGTGTACGCGGTCTTGTTGTTGCGACGGAAGTTTCTTCATTCTCTGGAATCTTTGATGCGGCTTCGGCGTAGTTCATTTTCTTTGTCTTTATCTTTCGGCGGATCCTTGCTGTCGAGGGCCTAACCTGGTGAAGGTTTGCCTCAATCAAACAGGCAAACAAACGCAATAACGCATTCACCTTTAGTAAGTAAGCTATCTCTGTGCTACACAGAAACAACAGTAACGAGAACATGTTCGTGTATTATGCTGGATGGCTGAACGCCAAAGAGGAACTTTTGACTGACACGGCGGGACGAGACGCTGAAGAGCGGGACGTATGAGAAGCCTAACCAGATAGGATTTTCATATTTCTTTTCTGTTCTATCCATTGGTAGGATTCAGGGTGCCATGCTAAACTGTTTTTAAAAAACTTCGAATTCCAAACACTGTTCATATCCTATGTTCTGAATGTCTCATCTTAAAAATACTTGAAGCGAATGCAATTCAGGTGAGGCGTAAACTGCTCATTTCCAAATGCTTTGAAGTCATATAAGAAATGCTGGCAATAATGATTGATGAATTTTGCTAGGACACTGATCATTGTGTGGGTGATAATGGCTCATTGACATCCCGCATTTATTTCGAGCCATTGTGTCTGTTTGTAAAATAGATAAAACGTGCATAACTGTGGTTTGATTGAGATGTTCTACCAATCTACTTAGTCAAAGACGTGCTCCGACTGACCCACGGAAATTTGTTTTAATCTTATTTACTGCAGAAACGCAAAATGTTTGCGAATAAGAGTGTTGAAAAAAATTATTTGCAATAAGTATTCCGCGACTTTTTCAGTTCATTGTTAGTGTGCCACAAGATAAAAATGTTTGAGAACCACTGCGTTAGGTTACCGGTCCATGTCGGATGTTGAAAAAATTACCGGTTATCGGTTACAGATGCATGGACTTGATGGTGAAAGTCGCCAGCTGTTTCGTGAACCGCCCTACGACGACTCCAGCAATCATATCGCACATAATTATCTCTCGCTACAACCCGCCGAAAGTAATCACGGTTGAGATGATGGCAATATAAGGTGCTTACCTTGCCCCGTATCCTGTGCTTGAAGCATTTGATATATTTGTATGCAAATAATTGCCGTCTGTGTCTCTCGTATAACCTAGAGCAGGGGTCGGGAACCTTTTTGTCAAGAGAGCCATAAAGGTACATATTTTCAATTGCATTTCCGTGTGAGCCATACAACAGTTTTCTTTTCTCAATCATGTCTCAAATTTTTACTCAAAAGTCGACACATACAATGTCTCAGGTTCCCGTACATTTGAACCCACGTACATTTGAACCCACGACAATTACACCTATGAAATTTTTTGTTTTGTTTTGCGGATATTTGAATCCATACTAACCCTAACCCGTGGGGTTTAGCACCCGCATATAGATTGAACCCGCGGATATACACATGGGTTCAAATGTACGGTCACCACGGTTGCACCTGCATACTATTGCACCTATGGAAATTTTTTTTTGTTTTGCGGATATTTGAACCCATACTAACCCTAACCCATAAGTTTTAGCACCCGCGGATATATACATGGGTTCAAATGTACGGTCACCAATGTCTCAATATTAATGTGACTTCTGATGCTGCATATTGTCGCTGAGAGCCTTGAACGACTGATCACGTGCAACACATTGTTCAGTTGAGTAGGAGATTTTTTTTTTACAGAAGTTAGGTGACGCTCTTGGGTTTACCGTGTAATCCAAATAAAAGTAACCAAGCCAATGGCGAAACAACACATCATCATTGAATTTGATGATCCATCCTATCGCAGTCTAGACAGGTCTAAACGCATTGTGTTAAAGCTGTATGTTGGGGCGATGTATGATATTTTAAAAGAATACATATTTGGAGAGAATTGAAAACTAAAATTTGGAATATGATTATGAGTATCAAATGCTGTTCATCTCTGTTGTTGTTTATTTTGGGATTTGGTGAAGCAATATCGGTAAGTAATATTTGTGAAAACTGTGATTTTTTTGCGTATTGCTCCACTTTTTTGTCGCACAATACCCCATGAATAAAGTCATTTTGGGGGAATAACTGGACTGGATTTTTAAAATAATCTTTCTAATGTGACTGCAGCCTGCCTATAATTGCAGCCTGGTTGATATTGTTCGAATGCGGGAGATAAATAGGGGGTCAAAGGCAATACATTCAGTCAATGATGCCTTCATAGGTTAGCCATGGCGTTGGGCACCAGGTCACTTCTGCACTAACGATAGCCCTAATATTACGTATATATATATTATATATATATATTGAAGGAGAAGTTTTGTACACGAAAAAAAACTGAAATTGTCTTTAATAAAGATAAAAATTTAGGATGTCGGATCAAATTATTTATCGAAAGTTCCTCCATAATGTTAACATGTAACAAATAAATTAAATAATTTGTTGTGGATTTGAATTTTACTAACTGAGATTATTTTTGCATCTATATATAGGTAATTGCTAAGCAATACATGATACTTTATCTCGTATTTCCCCGTACATTATCAAGCATAACTAAACCCATATTTTTAACTGGGTTATAACAATGATGTATTTAAAAGACATAAAATCACACAGTCGTTTTACAATCCCATACGGTATATCAAGTGGAATTTATGTTGCCATTTGTTTTATTTACCTAGTGTCATATATCCCGGATCTAAAAATCGATTTTGACTGAATTCCGCTCAACGACCTCTTCAAATTGTCCGTGTGCGACCAATGTAAGCGGTACATGTTATTTAAGGATGGCTAGTTAACACAGTGATACCAACAACAAAACGACTAAATATTTCGCACGAATACGGCGTCTGTAATATGAATATATATAAATGTACAATGTAGATTAATTAAATTTTCAAAATCAGTCGATAAAAAATAGAACGAAACGAATCAAATAAAGCTTATTGCGACTTTCAAAGGAGTGTTATCAAATCTTGATATAAATAGAGTAAAAATGGGGCAAAATAAAATTTAACTGTCCAACAAAGATATCAGAGCCCTTTATGTCGAATTTGTAGCAGGGCTTTTTCTTTGAAAACTTAAACTCAACAAAGCATCAGTAATCAGTAAAGAACAAACTAAAAAAATATTTTTGAAATTTTTCTTAAATTAGAAAGTTTCTACACAATGGTAAATATTTTATGACTTGTTTCTCAAAACATACCTCCATTTAGCCGATAAAGCAATTGTATTTAACAGTTCAACTGAATACATACAAGCACTTTCTTTTGCATTTTCGAAAAACATGCTTGATATAAAAAAAAAAAGTACATTTTCTTAAATTCATCTTAAAATTCCCAAGCATCAAATGCTAAATCTATTTTCCAACTAAAAAGATAGTTTATCGACAGACAAGAAATGTATTGATATGAGTACATTGAAAGCAAATTTCTGTCTGATTATAACATTATGCACCATGTAAAAGAGGCCAAGCTACGAAAAATCGCTCTAAAGCAGCTTTAAATATTCTACAATATCAGTTGTAAGAATCAGTTTCGCTGCTTTTTTTGTTCTATGCCTTCGCCTTATGCAAATACATATATAACAATGATTGCTAAAATAACATCGGAATTTCCATTAAAAATACTATAGTAGCTTAAATTAGACGACGCACCGGAGAAATAGAGCTTGAAAACTGAGTTTCAATTCTGGTTAATTATGTATACAATTATATAACTAAGTTTTTAAATTTTAGCAATGGGGAGGAATCCCCCTCACTCAAAGAATTCAGAGTGACAACAACAGAGTTCTTCAATATCACCAGGAACAAATGAGACTCGCAGGAATCAACCATCCAGGATCTGTTCTTGCTGAAAATAGAGCAATACCAGTTGCACCATTGCAATACCGAGATTTTGTGACGATCGAAAATACTCCCAATAAAGTAAAGGCCAACCATACACTGAACGTGAGTACATTTGGGGACCATCTAGCTCACCAACAGGGTGTAATAAATTGGGCAGGCGATACATCTTTTCAAAAATATTAGCTCTTTACATCGTATCGTATCAGCGACTGCTCGTGCAGGACCTTAGGTGCGTAAATCTAGAATAAGCGGAGTATAAAAATTGAATGTGTATACTTTTGCTGGTACATGTTCGCTGATAAAACTTGTGCACGTTCTAACTAGCATGAATGCAGATTTTATTCACTTTCCGACATTCTCATTTGCCAGCTATATCAGAAATAAAAATGATTGATTTAGGGTGGAAAGTTGTTAATCCGACAATGGCACGCGATGTGTCAATTTAAAACAAAATAATCAGCTTTTATAAAAAGGCACGAACAGGACCTTGTTTGGTACAGGTTCATGATGAATGTATTCCGTGTCAATACATCAAAAACTCCTCGAATATACACACGAGAACAAAACTTTTTGCCGAATTGCGTTTGGTTTAGCATCACAATCTTAAAACCAAATTGCTCACCGCATCAAAAGCTGAACTACACAGATGGTTGCTTGGCTGTGACCTACCTAAATCAAACTCAGAATAATAAATTTAAACTATATTAATGCTGGAACTGTGACTCTGGAAATTATTATTCATTGATTACAATTTGTTTATTGGCTGAGAGATACTACACATTGAGAAAATTGGCGAACCACCGGAATGCAAAATATCACTTTAGAATGACCATTTCCTTCACCTTAACGTCGGCAAAAAATCCTGTTTTCTTTAATCTTACGTTATTTCAGATCAAATATCAATGCAGTCAGCCATTTACAATCGTGTTGTTTATGGATGGGAATTATCTTCAACTTAATAAACCAAATATCAATAAAAGCATTTCTATATATAAAGACTCTGACATCATATTTTTTCGAAAATTCTGGCAATGCGAGAGGTCTCCCCGGGAAAGCAAAGTACAGATACCGTTAATTTTTCCTCCAGAACTACTCCGACCCCCAAATTTGATGTTACAGAAAGTATGGACAATGCAGAGTGTTAACTTGAAGGTAAGGCTGTTTAGTTCATAATCTAAGTATGATCAAATATTAAATAGACTCTTCATTTTATAGACGTAACTATTGGGCGGCGTGATGGACTAGCGCAGCGGTTCCCCCTAGGGAACGGTAATTCACTGAGTGTGCCCCAAAAATTAACAAAATAGTGTTAAACATTAGTATAATATATGATTGAATATTCACATATTGTATTTATTATGAATGTTTAACATTCATCCGCGTTTGACATTGCGCATTGTACATCTTGTGTTCTGTATTCCACCACCTCAACGAGAGTGTAACAAATTGGGTATAGGCAACGTTAAAACAAAAAATCTCCGGTTCTTCCAAATAAAGTAACTCTTTACATATCGCGAGGTATCATTAACTGTTTGCATGAGGGCTTGTTTGCAGCAAAAGACGCGAAAAAGCGTCATTTATAAACAAAAAACTTCACAATTTATATGATGAAGGTTCCATTTTAGCATTGTTCAGAGTTGATTGACATATCTATCAATTTAATTCCGTTCAGGCTTTGTTGCAGTCGGAATATGTTTCCCAGATAAATTTATTAAATTGTCGTATTGTATAAGAAATAATGATTTATTTCATAAGTAAAATACCGAAATATTTTAGCAAAATCGATCTAATGTAATATACACATAAAAATATCCACATAAAAATATCTTTGAATTATTAAAAAAAAAAAAAATACTCTGTGATATCCACACGCGATTGCAGTTCACAGCATCTCCTATTGTGCATTGAGTTTGCTGCCTTTTAGCTCGGAGTTGTTTGTGAATTCCTAATTTTTTTTCAAGATTGCAATGGTCGACAAAGCACTATGGACGTATCTGGAAAACGCGGAATATCTACTCCGTGACACATGTCATATTGCATTCGAAAAGTAAGAAAATTAATATTTTCGTTCGTATTAAACTTTGCTTCTAACAAACTCATTTGTTTCAAACTCCCAGCTTCTTATAAACTCTTCTTCTTCACATTCAACGCGGTCGAACCAGTTCAGCACTACGTGATATCAGAATGTTAGACAAAGGGTTTGTCTCCCCATAGGACTCTGTTTTTGTTATTCTGATCAGTTCATGCCTCTGAAAACAAACAACTGGCTAACTAATCTCACACCCGACATTGACTGACGACCAGACGAGAGAATGTGGTTTACGTTTACCATATGATTAAGCCGTATTATCGACTTTCCTCTCCCCTGGGATAATTATATAAAATTCAGTCATATCTAATAGGAATTAGAATGTGCCATATTGGCGATCTAAATATTTGAAATATGAAAAAATAAATGTGAATCACGTTAAGCTTCAGAATAAAGTAAAAAACTTTATTGACATTCCGCACACTATTTTTCAGGTCTCACAAAAGCATGGTTTTACCTCTAAAGTTTGAGCATCCTTATTGTAGATCAGAGGATGAATTTGGCCGTTGCTTTCATTGGCCGTATGCAATGATCAACGAGGTATTTCTAAAACAACCTCCAAAGTCACCGCACGACAGCGGTAAGGAGACAGTGTTTTGGGTTGTTTCATGTTGGCTAATTCACGCATTGTTTTAAAATCATTGGTCATGAAGTGGCCATATGGGTTGTATTTCCAAATCATTTTTGTTGTTGTTTGGAAGACTTTTGGTGTTTGAACCGCATTTCTCCGTTACTAAGGAACCGCTCGATTTCAGGTTCTCAATAATTACAGATAGAAGTGCTCGTCAGAAAGCTATCGCCTTTCGTTTATTCATCCGTTGTTCTTTTGAGTTGTACAAGATCCAATATTTTACCCAAATTTTGCTCATTTACTTCAATTTATAGGAACGCTGTCTTCATTCAGCCAATGTTGACGACTTAAGTTATGGTTGTCCTTAGATTCATTTTAGCGAACTCTGTCTTCGGCCCTGTCAGTGCAATTCACCGGAATTCGGCCGGTGGGATTGAATTGATTTTTATATTATAATGGGAATAGATACAAGGGTGGGACTACTTCACAATCCTTCACCCGATAATTATATGATGAACCATGGCCGATCAGCCCTTCGAACCGAGTTGATTGGAAGATGAATTCTGCAATTCACTATTTCTCTCCCACATAATTAATTGTTTCCCGATTTCAAGCGAAGCGATTGCGTTTGTCGTTTAGAAATGCTTAGATCAAGTAATATGCTCTCTGACATTCTACCATATTTGGACACGAAATGATCCAAGAATTGTTTTGATAAATTGTTATTGAGTTGTTGTTTTTGTGACGTTTTTCCCTATTCAATGGGCCAATCAATTTTCAAATTTTCGATGGTATAAGTCAGAAGGCTATTACATTTACTCGAATTTGAATTTCTTTAGAGTGTTTTGGGTGGTACCCCCGAAGTATGTGAACTAAGATGGTGGACACCGGAATGTAGTATGTGTACCAGGTAGGGTTAGGGCATAATTTTATTCCAATTTTCTTTATTTTAATTCTATTACAAGTTCGGGGACTAGCCAAGTGACTCCCGTAGTATTTGTACCTGAAATTGTGGCCTAACCCTAACCTGGTACACATACTACGTTCCGGTGTCCACCATCTTGTTTCACATACTTCGAAAGTATCTTTTGGACTCATCTCATATTTCACCAGAAATTTTACTAATATTTACTGTTATTTACTATTTCTTTATTCAATATATGACACATTGGCCACTATATGCATACACAAATACATATTAAATAGAGCTTCCAAATGTAACTATGTTATAGTTATTTTTAAGCCATTTTAAAACTTATTTTCCAGTTGTTACGCACCTTCTCAAACATCCTATCGTCTCATCAGAAACTCATGTTGGGATTCCAAGGAATTTCTATCGATTTATGAATTCCGAGATGAGGCAAAGAAACAAATATAAAGAACCGAGGTATGGTTTTTGCATTATGCTATTTTGCTAAGTAAATTCAAGACCAGCCATGTCCAACCAAAATGTTGTCTGAAGCCGCAAATTAAATTTAATTCTTTCCATGGAGGCACTTTAAATAAAATGTCTTGCACCATAAATTACGGTTTAATTTTTGTGGAAATTGCCGTGGTCCAGGTGTTGGATACCCCATGTTGAAGACTCTCAATGCCTACAGTAGGAACATAATTAGCATTTGTGATCGGAAATCTCTATAATAGCCTACTAAGCGCTTAATGGTCCTGTAATAGCACATCTAGGTTTTTCAACGGGCTTCCGCGGCACTGTATGGTTCCGCCACTACAGTCCAGGGCAGCTTCCTAACTGGGGCCCCTCGGCCCCCTAAGCGGGCCACACAGCAGTTGGAGGGGCCACAATGCTAGTAGTAGACCTAATTTTCATTTTACAAGAAAACTCCCTGTTCTTTCAAGTTTTAATGCTTGATGAGAATTTATTTCACAAGGTGTTTTCATACTATAAATACTATTGGAATAATAAGCACGTCATGGGCGCTGAAACCTTTGGAAGAAGGCCAGGGCCATAAAAGGTTGGGAACCACTGGTATAAGGGTTCCACAATTTCGTTGAAGTACGCGATTCTATAGTAATAATAATATTGTTATTTCACATATGGTTTAAATTTAATCAAATTTCTATTAGGTTTCTTACTATTATTAATCTTGCTTGGTTTTTTTCTTATTATTAGGTTTACTTTTTTATATATTTAAAGTTAATACAATTCAGCCAAACTCTATTCCGTGTTTTTATATTTCATTCTAGGTACACGTTTTCAATGGTATTTTATCTTGCATCAGCTTGTGAGAAATTGTGTGCAGTTCTCCAACATATCGGTGACGATGGACACTACACTACTCCGATAGTTTTCATCAATGATAAAAGTAAGAACGATTTTTAAACCGAAACTCCTTACCTAATTTAATACATCCTGAGTAAGGTGGTGGGTTTTCTTAAAAATGTACCGCGAACTTGCACCCATGGCTATTACTTGACTAGAAAGAAGATATTCGCTAAAATAAACCAGGCTCCATGAGATATATATTCCCGTCCCATCCTATCGCATTCCGTGACAATTCATGCATTTTCCATCTCATCCAATTTCCGCGTGAATGACAATCACATTTCCCACCCTGGTAACTGGTATTAAATAAAGAAAGCTATGCTTATATATTAATTCGGTGTCTCACCACAAAATATATAGTAAAAAGCTCTTGAAAACCATAACTCAAGAATAACAATCTTATGGTGAATCCTAGACTCTTGAATATCCATAATTTGAAACAATTCATAACTTCCATAAACTTTGAATAAATACTATTTTTCTAGGCCAGATACATGTCCAAGGCCAAGTTGCTGACAATCAATCCTACGCTTTTTACTCCGATTGGACTGTTCCTTTGAACGAGTGGGTTCGACTTGACATTCAACAATATAGTGTAATGGTAGGTAAAACATGAAACGTCATATCAAATTTGTTTTCAAGAACTCGACATGAAGCATTAAAAGATTATACTAATTTATCTACTCAATATTTGATTATTCAAATGAATTTACTCAGGTTTACCGAGACAAGCTTCATTTCCAATTTTTAGAGAACGTTTGATGTAACTAATGTTAAGACATTTTTTAAATGTTTTATTTTCAGCTCAACGTGACAATGAAACACGGAAAGAATTTTACAGAGACTTCTTCAGTTATGAAAAGGTTGAGATATTTAATTAAATAATAATTTTTCATATTTCATCTCTCAAAACGTCCATTGTCTATGTTAATTGAAATCCTGATAAATTGGAGTACATCCTAACAATTCAATATTGGAGAGAGGTATGTAGCCCGAGCAGAATATTAGAATTGTCCGCTTGATCAATTCGGCTACATGCTATGCTTAAACAGCCATCTTATACATATGCATTCAAACAAATGTACCTATACAGCCATTGTCATATTCACAAGCGGCAAATTCAATATATATACAACTATTTAGGTAGTGTACATAGAAAGCATTTTGCATATACATATACAGCCGATGTCATATCCATGAAACTTCAATCACATATACAACCAATGCTATATGCAATGTCATATATATATATACAACCATTCAAGTGATGTACATATGCAACCAATATCACGTGCATATACAGCCGACTCAACATACATACACATTCAGATCTTGTACGCAGACAGCCTATCACACATACATATACAACCAATATAATATTCATATAAATTTACCTCGTCATGCACATACACCCATTAAATCGATAATAGTATTCTCGTCCAGTCTATTTTATATGCATATGCGACCAATGCCATATCCATGTACAGCCAACGCAATATACATATACAGCCATTTAGGCAATATATATATACAGCCAATCTGTTTCATAGGCATATATGCTCATCTGTTTGCCATTGAATGTGGAGTGGTTCAATTTATACGATTGGTTTTTCCAGAATCTTACTTTTGCATACTTTTACAACAGCTTCCATTTGCCGATGATCCAGGACTATGAGTCGGGGTTTTTCACAGTAGGATCAAGTATGTATGCGAGAAATTTCAGAGGAATTATTGGAAGTGCAACACTTTGGCGAAGTATGGTGCTAACATCAGAAGAGGTGGAGCTGAAATTGTTTTTTTTTTATTTTATTTGTTTTATTATTTCGGGTTTGCCATTGCATAAAGCCGTTGATTACATTCATGGTCAAGTGATGCGCATAAAGCTTGACTCCAAATTCTCTAACATGCAATACCAACATGATCAAACTTTTCCAACTGAAGACTGTTAAGTCAACTCGAACATAATATTTCATTTTGTGTTATTTGCTTGCGTGTTTGTCTTTGCGACTGTGTTAACTTTAATTGATTCAAACTTCACGTTGTCCGGTGTGGCTATACCTAAACAATAAATCTATGACCGTGTACATGAATATGCGGAGTCAGAGCTATTTTTCGACCTATAGATTTTCCAATAGAGCAAATTCTATTATTCGTGACCGATTTCTAGTGCACTTCTGTACTCCTGGCCCTTTTTTAGCTCGTCATCGTCTCACCTTTTATTGACCTGCTGTTAAAGTCGGACGCCTTTCCGTTTCTCTGTATTTTATCTATTAAATTTATTCAAAACATTTGAATATAAATTTGTCATGATTTACATTTGCCAGATACCCGTCCCAACACCCGACGAAGCAATGTTTCAACTAGGAATCGAAGATATGTTAATGAAATCTAAGAAAGTGATGACGATGATAAACCAAAGATGGGAATTCCTGTTATCTCAGAAAATTAATGAAACGAGAAAGGCTAATTCAGGTTAGCGTTAGGGTTAACGAACTGCTGTTTCAGTAATAAATTTATGTCAAAGGAACGAGGTAGGTGTTAGTAAACTTGCCATTCACTAGTGCGAAATTTTCGTGTGTTGCAACGCAATGTTTTTTTAATCGCTACGTACAATAATGAAAATATACCCTGCCTAATTTTCAACGTTTCTATGGGCCTGGTTTATTTTAATACTATGATAATTACATTAGTCTGTGGTCACAACCAGGGTTGCCAGACCCCAGCGATCAAAAAAAGCCAAATCAAGACACGAAAAAAGCCAGAAAAAGCCAACAATTTTACTAAGTACAAAAGCCCCATGATTTGTCAGATTTTAAGCGCTTGGCAACGTACTGATGATGATGTAGAGCCATCAGTTCATTCGGTGAGGCACACAAATAGAAAGTAGAGTTCCTATAGAACTGTAGAAAGTAAAATAAATATCAAGCGGACAGCATCATTTTACCATTCAACATATACAATACAGGGTGTCGCCTCAGTCTGTCAGTATGTAATAGCCTATACCTACATGTTTCTACTTAAACTTATGATATACCTTAAAAAATTCTCCCTATATCAGTATATCGTGCTTTACTATTGAAAATTTTTTCACTTTTAAAATTTATAAACCATCAATTTTATTGAAAAATTATCTAACCCCCTGCCGCTCACAGGTGTACCACTGATATCTAATTCAGTAATTTTAGCGTAGTTAATCACATCGTTACTGCAATTGCAAAATCAAACTAAAGCTCACATAAACCATATCAGGCATAATGAAAATTAAGTTATAGAACTATATTTTGGAAACAGAATGTAAAACTGACAAATAGGCAAAACTATAAAAACGAGGCAATGTTTACAACCCTGCTTGAACATCTGTCTGAGCAGCTGCAGAAACTGCAATTATTTCTTATTGGGTAGGATATGGTTAAGAGTTAATGTAACAAACAAGAAAATCGATGCTCCAGAAAATCCTAATGTTAAGTAGCTAAGTACGTTGTTACACACTAAATATTGTATTTCATATGATTTTAGTAATAGACCCTAGAATAGACTTTAAAAAAGCCAAAAAAACGCCAAAAAGCCAAACGGAAATTCTGACGCCAAACGCTTTTGAAAAAAGCCAAAAATGGCAAATTTGGCGTTAAAAAAGCCAATATGGCAACCCTGGTCACAACAGCATTTTGAGGTCAACTACCAGATATAAGAATTAGGTACGCACTGCGATTATTACAACAATATTCTAATACCTAACTTCTTATATATATATATATATATTATATTATATATATTATATATTTTCTGATTTTATCAGAGAATAAAAATGAATGTAAAACCTAAATATTTTACTCATTTTTTAAATTATATATTTTAACTTTCACGAAAATTATATTTGAATATACTGTAATTCTAACAAATCTTAGATATATGTCTGCCATATTTCCTGGAAATAATCCGCCCAGTGAAAGAAAAAAGTTTGGAGAAATGTCCACTGGAGTCGGAACCGCTTCCAAAAAGGTAAGAAAACAATTAACACTCAAGAAATTTATCTTCGTCAAACTTAAAGTACAGCTTGCTCAAGTGCAAAGATACCAACAATGTCCGACGTGGCAGAGGCTCGATCGCCGTGATGGCATATTTCATTAATGAAAGTGAAAGTGTTCGTCGTTTTGTTATTAATTTTTCGTTATTTTAAATAATGAAAGTGGATGCGGACGAAAATTATTCGGCGTCAAATTATTGAGTTATAGGTTTTATACCGAGTGCAACCTTGGAAATCAAAAATCGTCAAGTATTGTTTGTGTGCGAAACGTCTCATTCGAAACGCTAGTATGGCAAAACGTCTGGCTCGAAACGTCCGAATACCGAAATGCTGAATCGAAACGTCCGTGGGCCAAAATGTCTGTATACCCATCTGTCACAGGTTTTTCTTTTTCTTTTCAATCGCAATTCTACTTTGTTAATATCAGTTAACCATGCTCGACTGTAACCATATTGAAATAACAAATTCCAACTCAATATCACTTAACACTTACACTAAATAGTGCAAACAGATCTTCTCAACACAAAACTCGAATATCGACCCTGGTTCCATTACAATTGAACCCACGGACATTTGAACCCGTAATTTGAACCCACGACAATTGCACCTGCATACTATTTATTGCACCTACGGAATTTTTTTTTACGGATGTTTGAACCCATACTAATCCTAACCCATGGATTTTAGCACCCTTATATAACTTGAACTCGCGGATATACGGGAGCAAATGTATGAGTTCAAATGTACGGTCACCATCGACCCTATGTGCAATACAAGCGTACGAAACAACTCCCTGCTTTTTTCCATGTCTCGAGGAACCAGGAATTGAACAGCAAATAATGACAAAACTATTATCGAGAAAAAACAGTGAATATTTTATTACACAGCCTCATAAAAGATGTAACAAATTGGTTCAGCTGTACCCGACCAGGGGACAGAGAAAATCCTCCGCCCCCATAGAATGGGGAAGCAATTTGCCGTAGAATGGGGAATAGCAGTCAATACCACTGTCACGGCGATTCCGGACATCGAATCCTGATTGTTTTAATCTTAAGAGAACTGTATTGCAGTATTGTCAGCGTTTCTTAGTGGTGCGATCGGACAATTAAAGTAGGACCTATGATCGACTTATGTCACGTATGACTTGGGTGGAATTAGGTGGTGCTCGATACGATTTGTCGACTGCCACTCCAAGCTAATACCAAAGTGGTTCCATTGTAATAAAAAAATCAAAGACGTGATTTTCCATAATATTGTTAGATAGTTAATCACAAATAATTAAAATGAGAAAAATATTTCATCATTTGCAATTTTGCAGATTCAAACTGATTTGGGATTCATATTAACGGTACTATCAAGTCCATAAAAATCACATCAAATGTTTTCAAATTTTGTTTTAGCTTATCACGGATTGAAGCCGAACTTGTGAAATTATCAAAGAAACGACGGAAAGCGTCGATCAATGTTCAACTTGAACTTGGAGAAAGACTTTACAATAAAGCGCTGAGGCTCATAGTAAGATTTTGAATCTAAACGATTTTTTTATCAACACATGATACCGCATTCCGAAAAAGGCAATTTTGTAATATTTTGTAAATCTTTTGAATTTTGTAAATCTTTACTTCTTCGTCCTTCGTCACTTTGCATTAAAAATACTTCAATTTCTTAATCCTAAGCAAATCCTCAGTTGTGTTATACTAATTATACTAATGTTATACTAATAAAAATAAAGAGCCGAAGAATATTCGAGAGTCCCCCGGGCTGGGAAACGATGCATTAAACCATTATTTGGACTTATAGAGATAGGGGATTAGGAAACATCGGAATATTCACAACCGTCAAACCCCACTTTACGGTTGGGCATTGACCGTAGGGCTGGTATTTTCGAAAAACCTGATGATCTCAGAATCGAATCGAATATTTTTTTTCCGAATTAAATCTAATCTAATTATAATGTAAATTTTTTATCTTCATTGTTGAATTATGTGGAATCAACCTATTTCTATTTCAAATAGAATTTTTTAATTTATCAAGTAAGTTATCTGGCAAATTACTGTGTTGACATAGCAGGTTACAAATCTCGGGCTCAAATCCCCATGCTCAATGGTGATCAATTGCCAAGGGTATAATAAATTCAGTCGGCGATGTTGAACCGGAAAGCTCCTAGTCCTTCCATGCTTGTATACGGCCTTGTTTGGAAGAAAATTCGCAAATAAGCGTCCTAAAAAGTTGCACTTGAATTCGTACCCTTTCTATAGCTATGGGTTTACGTTAAATTACTAATTGTATTTTTCAACTAACCTTCATCAAAGTTATTCGATAATCATACAAAACCGAAGGATCGTCGGCAATGTTCCCTCTAATTTTTTGTAGTATGTGTGCGCAGAAATTTTGGTATGTGCGCACTTTTTTGGAAATGACTAATATTTGTGCAAAAACCGATGAAGAAATTTCGGCGTTCTGACCGGGTAATAAGTGGGCCAACAACAAACTTTCTCAACCTGCCAACGGAGCACATTGTTACATTACATCGAAATACGTCTGTGCGCAGTAAATCTATGCGTGTGCGCACACTCTGAAAGCTCTGTGTGCGCGCACACACGCACACCTTGGCTTAGAGGGAACACTGATCGTCGGTATCTTCAGCTGCTTGTTCATAATATTCAAATGCTGCTTTTAGGTTTCTTTTCAACCCTTGCTTACCCCAGTAGAGCAACTATCCGAAGTTACTAAATTAAAACTATCGTCCTCGTTTAGGATGGCATCGATACGATCATGAAGATGAATTCAATAATCAAGGTGCTCGAAAACGCAGCAATGCTGAACCACGGAGAAGCCTGTTCGTTACTGTACGTGATTTACGCTAATGGATTCGGAACCAATATTGACAATGAAAAGGTAATTAGTATTATTCATTCAGAAACAAATATTTCAGAATCAAACACAGATGAACTTAGAAGTACAGTAGATTTAGAAAGAGTCGGTAGTCGCCCTGGATCTCCGCTGATACTTGACGCTGCACTCCAGCAATCCGTTACCTTCCGAGCAAAATTTGGTTACTGCTTGCCACAATCAGGCTACCGAAACTGTCTATTATTTGATCTCTGCAGGTCTCGTAGGCATCCTTGTATAAGTGGTATACCGAAACTAATAATAAGAATGATGTTCACTAACATTCCAAAGGCTTCCCCTGTTTATGATTATCAAGATTAAAGACGGCTTGTTGGTGGTAGTATTTTCTTTCATGTAGTGCGATAGAAATTAGTCGTTCTTTTCAATTTTATTAGTGAAATGAACTTTTTACTGCTAAATGTTAACTTGAGTCCAAACACATGGTTTCGGTATCATGAGTACCTGTTTTAATAGTTTATATAAACATGCATACATTATAACGTTTTCAAGACGCCCCTTTTCAGCAAAAGTCGTGAAGGAATATGACGGCCGACACCTCTAGTCACCAAACCCATTGAATAACGTTAAATCAATATGAGCAAGATGTGACTCTGTGATTTAGAAGATACATATTTAAAGTGTGATCAAAATTGTTTGCTCAATTCCATCTCAGACCCAAATTTTTACCAACCTCGTATAAAAAGCGTGAACCGATATAAATCTCGAGGCGCAGACGATATGGATAAATAGCAATAGATGCTACCAGGCTCATCTATTTCTTTTTCGATGTTGTGCATGTCCCACTATAATGCAGTTAGATAATATGGGCGATTTCGACGTATCAAACGGCTGGTTTTGTGGATATCTTGAATTCAAGCTTGAATTCTGTAATCGCTAAAGTCGTGCTTTAAAGCTCCCCATATTTAGAGTCAAAATTCGAAACCTCCGGGATTGGATTTTTGTACTTTTCATGGCGAAGAAATAAGTCAAAACTTCCTACAGAAATCAAAACATATCGAGTTTAACATAACTTCATCACACCGATTCGGATATCGAATCCTGATCGTTCAAATTTCAAGAGAACTCTATGGCAGTATTGTTAGCGTTTCTCAGTAGTGCATCTGGACAAACAAAGTAGGGCCTATGTTCGACTTATCTTATGTATGACTTAATAAAGTGGAATCAAGTGGTGCTCGATACGATTTGTCGACTGTCACTCCAGATTAGTCCCAAAATCGATGTATTATATTACAAAAGTGATAGAGTGATCTTCCATAATATAGTTAGATAGATAATCACAAATAAACTCGGCGCTTTTAACATTCCATTGAAGTAACTATTTTTTTTCCTTAGGCTCGCAAATACCTCCATCTTGGTGGGATGCTGGGTGATCGGATTTCAATAAAAATTCTCGCACATAAACATCTCAATGGAGAAGATGATTTCAAAAAAGATGAAGAGATTGCCTTTTGTAAGTCTGATTTATATAGTCGAGAGCAGAGTTTTCTAACCTGGAGGAATTTTGTTGTTTCGGGGGAGGGAACCATCTCTATTTTTTTTGAAGTAGTTTTTTTTATTAATATTGTTTAGTTATTAGTATAATTGTTAAACATATTTATGCGCACGTTGTAAACTAGTCAAACTGTACAACGCGGGGAGCGAGTTGCGTGTATAAATAGTCCATTAAATATTGAAAAACAAAATAAAACAAAAAGCCATACCGAGGGGTGGGGAAAAAGAGATTTGAAATAGACAAAAGAGAGCAATGTGGCAGAACTGTTTGAAACCACTAGTGGGATGTTTGACTATCATTTGAAAGTGCTGACAACTCTGAAGAAACACAATTTGATATCAAATTTTGTTTAAGTTTGCTAATATTGATTAAACCAACGTTCCTCAACCAGAAAAAAATTCTGCCGTTCTGGGGAGTAATTTTGCTTTGTATTCGATGTAGTATTACTAATATTCTTAGTTTTCATTATTGTAATGAACACATAATAACCTTACCCCTACTAACCAAAAGGGCGGGAATGCGACTTGTGCATAACACCAGAAAATGTAATATTAAATTATGAATCAAATAAAGTATTATGGAATTTTGAAAGAGTTCCTGAATAGACAACGAAGGAATTTAACAAAAAAAGGTTAGGTAGGGACCACTGCTGATCGTCAAACACTTGATGATTTAATTGATATTCATTTTATATTACAGATTATTACTACAATGCCGCGCAAGCAGCCCAGACTGACAGACAGCAGCATGTTGAATCAATGGTAAGTGTATATAATACTAACAATATACATATATATATTTGTTAAATACAGTTATACAGTCGAATACAGAGTATTTCAATTATCCTTATATATAGGTAGTTTTAGAAACTATTAATAACTAACTGATGACTTCGTAGCATATGGACAAATTTCTATCAAACAGTGTTTTAAAGGTACTATCCTCACAGTCTGAATTGGAATCGATAATGTTTAATTCTTCTAGCTGTCGTTTCATATGTAAAATTGGTAATTTGAGTTTTCCGATTTCCTTATAAGTATTTTTTTTGAGCTATTAATAACTAATGACTCCGTTGTATGTATACATATTTCTATCAAACAGTGTATTAAAGTTACCATTCCGATTTTCTGAATTAAAAAGGATATTCTTTATTTCGACTAGTCGTCGTTGCATTTGTAAAGTTGGTAAACTTTTGTTAGACTGATGTGAACAGAGTACGATTGACGGATGAAAAACGTTTGAAACACCAAACGTCAGAAGATGAAGATTTGTTTCAATGGCTGAAACATCAAGCTGGAACAGGAATGAAGGAAGCAAAGGTAATCGATTGATCCAAAACTAACATTTCAAAACTAATTCTTTTCGCAAGTTTTGTAAGTTTCTTTTCGTACTGACAACTTTGAAACGGCGATAAATTTAGTTCAGTTCTTATAACTGGAATTGATGATATATCATAGCTGATTTAATGGATTAAATAGAACAAAACGATATAAAATGAGCTGCCAATAGTTTGGAAGTACCAAAGTCGAACTCTCTTACCTGCCGATCAGGTTAATTGAACTTATAAACAATGGATTCGAACCCAAGATATTTGATCTACGATACCGACATAACGAAGTCATATTATGCTCATTATACAGATTGTCAAAGTTCTATATTAAATTGAATAAAAGAACTTTGATGTGCTTTCTGCAACTAATTATATGCATTTGTTTTTAATTTTTTTTTAAAATAGCAACAGGACTTTATGAACACCTTGTATATAATTCTACCTATTCCAGAGGAACTTGGGACAGCTGCTCTACTGGGGTAAGCAAGGCTTGAAAAGAAACTTAAAAGCAGCTTTTGAATATTATGAACAAGCAGCTCAAGATACCGACGACCCTTCTGCTTTGTATGATTATGGAATAACTTTGATGAAGGTTAGTTGAAAAATACAATTACTAATTTGACGTTGAACCCAAATTGCAATGTTTTCACCAGTTTAAGAATGTAATATCGAATTTTGCTATTTTACTATGGATTTTTATTTATCATACCATATACATCTTTTTGGTTTAAACGATTCTTTCATATAGAAATATGTAACCAATCACATATAAGGGGTAACAATAACTTTCGATGAAAATTTGTGACGTGTCTAATGCTATCTCGGTTGGACGAAAATCCGTTCGCTTGGGACCTCATTTTATTCTTTCAACAACCTTTTTTTTTACCAGAAGGACCCAACATGTGCAGGACAACAAAATGTGGCAAATCTGTGGATATAATGTATTAGATTTGTTATCATAATTTTAATTCACCCGAGAAAAATTTCCACACACCAGTCCGTGCTCAAGAATATGTTTGTCATTGTAAAAGTCACCGATATAAAGAGAAAATAGAGTAAATATTTTATGAACATAACTCATTACAATGGTTCTACAATAACAAAAAGATTCTTGACTGCCCTAGATCAATGAATTTTCTAACTGATATACAGGGCCAAGGAACAAATTCAAATGAAAATAAAGCTCTAGGTGTAATCGAGCGCGCTGCCGAGTCAATGAGTCCAGAAGCTATCAATGCGTTAGGATGGTAAAATGTTCCTGAATATTAGCTCGATCTATATATTACGTCGATTTTAAGTTGATCTCAACTTTTAATGCGCATGCCACACGTTCAAGGCATTGCGAAAGGTAGTTTATCGGTTATGCTTAGCTTTAATACTATCTGCACAGCCATCGCATATGCAAGAAAAAAAGCAATCCAACACACACATTGCATCGTGCGCGAATGTTGGGGCATTTCTGCTTCCATCATATTAACGTTGAGATAAAAGACTGCCAACGTAATGCATAGCAAAACGGGAATGTTCACTACTGAATTTGATTTGATAAAAACAGACAGAAATTCACAGGCTTGTCCATGGGAATCCCATGAAATGGGATATGATAGCACGCATTTGTATTTCCCATGGGACACGTGGGGTACGAAAACCGTATGATTTTCTGGGAAATGATGTTAAAAAATTTCGTTATGGATTTCTTGTCCATATATTTGAGCATAGCTATCTTGTTAGTTATAAAGAGCAAAATATATTCAGCATTAAAAATATACTTCGCGAAGGGGCTGATGGACACATGTATAATAGTGATGAATAAAAAGTTACCAAAGTCCGTCAATTTCGTTGTTTAGCATGTCTCTTCGTGCATGTAGTCCTATTTAGTAGACGCTAAACCCAAATTTAACAATTTTTATTGAATTTTATTCCAATGGGAATGCCACGGGATAGAATGGGACAGGCATAATTGCTATGGGATGGGAATGGGACAGAAAAATTTATCCCATGGACAAGCCTGGAAATTAAAAAGAATAATGTCAATCTTTCATGATTTCTTTTATTGCCTCCTATCAATTTTCTTATGCCTGAAATCGAACACTGTGATTAGACAAGAGTAACTCTATGGCAATCTGATATGCAATCTGCTTAAACAGACTTATAACATTAGGTCTTAGATTCAGAAACAAAAGCTACAGCATTAGTTTTAGCGTTTTCACTTGTATATTCCGCACCAATATTTACTCAAAGTTTTGGTCAAGAAGGTTCTGACTAATAGCGGAACTGGTAGCCTCTGCGACGTATATCTTTTATTCGAAAATCTCAAATCTCAAGTCGCACCCTTCGTAACGATTCACATCGGTATAGCGCTAATACCTTGGCTGAGCAATGACAACCACGTGTTGGCGCAATGTTCCCACATTTGCAAATTTCGAGATCTACTGGACTCAGTGGAAGTTTGTAATAATAATAGTAATAGCCTTCTGACGGCTTCAATCATGTTTGAGTAGCTGAAAATTTGAAATCAATTTGACATTAGTCGCTGAGAAATGCGACTTTTTATTGACAGCAGCTCTCCTCCCAGTATAATCAACGACAAAAATTTATCGATATTATTCATTTGTATAATTCGATTCTAAATATATGGTGACCGTACATTGGAACCCATGTGTATATCCGCGGGTTCAATCAATATGCGGGTGCTAAAACCCATGGGTTAGGTTAGTATGGGTACAAATATCCGTAAAACCCAAAAAAATTCGACAGGTGCCATGGCATGCAGGTGCAATTGTCGTGGGTTCAAATGTACGTGGGTTCAAATGTAATGGAACCTAAATATATACGACAGCGAGGATCTGAATATTCGCTAAAAATAGTCCATGGAAGCGGTATATAAATCATAACCAATATATAAAAGAAATCCAAATTTAGGGGCATGGTACTGACGTCGATGAAGATAAAGGACTTGAAGTTCTTTTAAAAGCGGCTGAGAAAAATTCGTCAAGGGCTTTCAATACTTTAGGATGGTAAAATGTAGCCGAATTAAATAATGTTATATTATGCGAGGCATGATATATTTACATATTATATCGTTCAGTTCGAGCTTAGATTTAAAGTTTACAATTCGTCGCAATGCCCTGTTCTCATTCTGCCATAGCTCATATAGTATATTGTATCAAAAATAAGCTAGAGAATATATTGTGTGGCCGTCAATCACTAAGTTACCAACACTCAGAGTTTCGATATTTTCAAAGATACAAATATGTAAAATATAAATCATATTCGCAAAATTTTTATGCGGGCAAATTAAAATAAGATAGTAGACGGGTTTCAAAATGATCTTTAAAGTAGAAAGCAATTTTTATTGGATATCCATGAATGAGTACCTTGATATAACTCAATCTAGATAACTAGATATAATAATTAGTATTTATAGAAGTAGACAGTCCATTATTCCTTACGTGAAAGTATATATTCAACGTGGTACTATATGCCATATAATCTACTGCAATTAAACAAAAACCAATTTTGTTTATTTATTTTCAAATAAAAAATGCGATGCTAGCTTACTCAAGCTTTAATTGAATATCTATTAACTTTCAATGCCAGTATTGTGACTTGTGAGTACCGTAGAACCGCCGTAGATGTCATAAAGTTGTGGAGAAATGCAACGTTTCAGAATGCTTCGATATGATTGAAATCTTTATGCTCGCAAATATAAACCAATGACGTCGTCTAGTACGGTGATTCTCAAATTTCTATGTACCATGGCCTCTTTACATAACTATGTGCATTATTATCGCCCAACGGCAATACAAAAAACGTGAAGTTACAAACGAATTTCACACATATATATCAATTAATTAAGCTAGTCAATCTCATTGAGCAAATTAATTATAGTACACATTTTTTTTTCTAAAGAAGTGCATGAGAATATTGATTAACAACGTTTTTCTTCATATTTATAGACATTTTTGCTTGGTACTATTCATAGGAAAAACAGGTGCTCCTGGAGTATGCGCACCAAGATGTCGCATAACCTGAGCTCTAAATTGGTACACAAACCGAGTTCAGGTTGTGCGCCATCTTGATGTGCATACTTCAGGAGGTCCGAAAAAAAGTCCCGCCTTTAGATTTTTGGACCCGATTATATCGACTACTTTAAGAATCACTGGGTTATAACCAATGGTGGAATTCAATTTTTTTGTCAGACGGTTCCATCACAAAAGTCATATTTTTCACCCGGTTTTGTTACAAAAAGTCATTCGGAGTAACCAGTAATGCTAACCGGTTTGCTGATCTCATAAAATTTTGTGAGACAGTTCTATAGAACCGGTTTGAACTGGCTGAATCCCACCACTGGTTATAACACTTTACTGAAGGGTTTTGAAATAACGGCTATAAGCTAGGAAGAGTTTTTAACAATGCAAACAATTTACAAGAGTCTGAACATTGTCAAGGTATTACATTCGCCAAGAAGGTGCAGAAAATAAGAAGAAAGCTGTTGAATATTTCGAACGATCGAATGAATTGAATAATGTCGACGCAGCTTATAATCTTGGACATATGCATCAAATCGGAGATTACCCAGGAGAAAAACGCAACATGGTATATTTTGTTTCGATTTTTATCTTTGTTATTTTTCTTTCACAAATATTTGGTCAATGAAATGTCACGAATACTGTATTTAATCAAAATTAAAAGATATGATTTTTTTTGAGGAATTTTGCGCATTCACATATAAATTATGAAGATTGATCTCTGAGCCAAATTACGGGCGACCTCTGAAAAGTCAAGTGCTACCGAGGCTATAATGAATTATAACGTAAAATTGTGCGGTATTAATTGCTGCTGATTAAAATAATATTGTAACTTGTGAGTCTTGTTCTATGAAACTTTATTTCTGAAGTTACAAATATAGTTAGCGCATTATTGCACCATCAAATTCGAACCCTTAGAAAACAATCTAACATTGTATTATTTGAAGCAAAACTACTGGAGGAAATGCTTGGATAAGTTTTGATTTTTTATGATAATGCGGTATGAGCTCTATTTATTTTTTAAAGATTTTGCACGTAAAGATTCAATGACAAAATCGAATTGAAAGTATTCACCTCACAGTATGAATACCGAATTCCCAATTATGCGACATTTCGAAATTTCACCATTAATGAATCCAAGGGGGTAATAAATAGAATCTTTTAATCACGATCTTTTTAAATCCATGCATCTGAAAACAAATAACGGGCTAACTATTCTTATACCAGAGAAGCCGTGGTTTGCCATATAACAGAGTCATCTTATAGAATTTCCTCTCATTTTGGAAAAATATGTAAATCCAATCCTATTCTAGATATTAGAACTTCGCGGTGGCTGCTCGATAAGCAGCTATGTTTTGCCACGGCTTCCCTAGTAAAACTATGTGTTTAAAGTTTAAGGTTAGGCCATAATTTTACTCCAATTTTCATTATTTTAGTTCTATTACGAGTTTGGGGACTAGCCAAGTGACTCCCGTAGTACTTGTACCTAAAATTATGGCCTAACCCTAACATGGTACACATACTACGTTCCGATGTCTGCCATCTTAGTATGCATACTACAGGAGTACCGATTTTTCTACTGATTTTAAGATTACGAAATTATGCCAGAAATATAACACATTATATTTAAATTCCTGTAACAGAAAAAAGCTTTCGAACTTTTCTACAAAGCTGCTGCGCGTGGTCATGTAGAATCAGCAGTCAGGATCAGTTACCTAATGGCTTGTGGAATTCGTGATTTTGTACATCGAGGAATTCAAAGTGCTTGCTTGTGAGTAAGAAGTTTATTCGTAAAGATTACTCTTGAGGGGGGATATGGCGCAAGGCTCTTTGATTGACCGGGGAGCTAAAATTAGTGTAAGTGTAAGGATATTCGCGGGCTGGAAGAGGGAACCGCAAGGAGCTGGTACCGGTATAATTGGATTGTTGCGAATATACAGGTGCCCAAACTGTGATAATGAAATACCAATTGGCAATATCTAGAACTCATAAAAGTAAAAACGTGACCTGTTATCTATTTCACTTATGTTCGGAGGGACATATTAAATTGTTAATCGGGCTGTAATTTACTCTGCTTCTGAAGGTCATATCAAATGGGTAGCGTGCGACAACTAGCGTTATATTTGGTGTTTCAATAGTTCTGTATTAGATTTATTAAAAGCGTGTCCTGTTAATGTAGCTTACGTAGTGACATACATGAAATGTGTTAAATGAGGGAACCTGTTATTAGTGAGTCCGATACAAAAGAAAACCCGTTCTTAAAATTTTGAATCCTGTGACTGGGTGTAAAAGATGTGACGTAGGCGCATGGATACTTTAGTAGCATGTGTACCAGGTTAGGGTCAGACCATAATTTTATTCCGTTTTTCCTTATTTTAGTACTATTACGAGTTCGGGGACTGTTTGTGTTTGCAAAGTGAAAACACCCCCTATCCATAGGTTTGAGTCCCTTTGCACAACTTGATGTAAAATAGTCGAACAAAATTAGTTACCTCCATATTGGTTACCTCCACAAACTTTTGAAACGCCCGTGCGACAACTAGCGTTATGTTTGGTGTTTCGAAAGTTATGTATCAGATTTTTTAACAGGTGTCATGTTAATGTATCTTACTTAGTGACATGCATACATTTTCTGAAATGAAGGAACCTGTTGTTAATGAGTTTGATACGGAAGAGAAAATTTGGATTCCATTACTGGGTGGTGTACTCTGTGCAAGATGTGACGTATGCGCGTGTGTACGCATAGCAAATTTATCTCAATATTATATAGAATGTTATGAATCATGGACGACTTTGTTTTGTTTCTCAGTTGGGCAAAACCTGTTTCGGAGATGAGTCCGGTGATGGGTGAAATTATCAGAGAAGCATTGCAGGCGTTCCGGTCGCAATCATGGTGAATATCCATTTAGAAATTTGCAATTTTATATCCAGAATAAATGTAATGTAATCTTGATATAATCAATTGCGAATAAGTCAGCATTGTAAACGTGTTTCTGTGTAAGAAACTGAAAATTCTATTGGACATCACAAGTTTGGTAAATTACTAAATATATTATTTCAAAAAAGAACAAAAAGCCAGTTCTACGAACATATTTCATATTCCCTGGGCAACAAAAGGTCATAAGTTACTCAAAGGTTTAAATGACTCCCGTCCGATTATTAGTCGAAATCGTAGCGACTCACGAAATAAAATACGCGAGCATGGTCAGCCGATGAAAGAAAATCTACCCAATTAAAATCACCATCAGAGCCATGAACCCATTTCAAATGTTTTTTCCGTCATGTTTCTAGGACAAAATCGACTCTTCTGTATCTGGTTGCTGCAGAAACTGGATTCGAACCGGCGCAATACAACACGGCATTCCTGGTTGACGAAGATCAGGTAAGTTTTAGCTCTGAGTTTGTATGTCGAATCAAATTTTAATCAGTCATACAATCATGCAAATAACTCCGTTAAAGTAAATTGATTGAGTATATGTATACTTCAATCAAGATTTTATGACTGTTAAAAAGCGCGGAAGTCCCCCACCCAACTGATGAAATTTACGCCAGACCTGAAAGACAGTGGCTTTTTACATATATATATGCATTCACGCAGCTGTTAATCTTTGAAAAAGTGAACTGGTAAGATCCCGTTACTTCCGAAATGTGTTGTCTTTGTACCAGTGTCTGCTTGTCTAACTCTAGACCAGTGTTCAAATCGAAGATTTGAAAATATCTCATACAATCTGAACCTCTTCGAACATGGTTAGAGGCAGGTTCAAAAATTCTCTGTGGGTTTATGACAACGTCTAATTTAATTTTTTTTACCATCGTACTCTAGTTGTATCCTACTATTTGCAGAGTAAACTTATCCGAAAAAATGTTGGCAGAGATTGTATATGGAGATTTTACAATGCAAGTGCACACCATTACGACCCTCCACCGTATGGTATGTTATTACCATTTTTTCTCCGGTATTGTTTTATTTAAAAGCATAATTCTTCGGTTTTAATTGAAACCTCTCAAGTACGGAGCTTCAAGCTGCGACTCATTTGCACAGGCACAAATTAATTTTATTATTTAGTTAATTGAAATGGTTCAATGTATTAAGATGTGCATTTAGACAAACAATTGGTATGCGTATGGTCTATGCTCAGATTTCGGTACTCCCGTAGTGTGTGAAACCGGGTTAGGGTTAGACCATAATTTTATTCTGATTTTCCTTATTTTAGTTTTTGTTACGAGTTCAGCGAACTGTCCGTGATAGCCAAGTGAATATACCCCTTGCACATAGGCTTCCGTCCCTTTACACAACTTGATGTAAAGTATGCGAACAAAATTAGTTACCTCCATATTGGTACACATACGAAGATTTCAATGCTGTAAAAATAATGCAAACGTACTGGTATTAAACAGTTAGAAATCTATGGGCTGCAAAGATAATTTACTTTTTACCTGTTCAATGTTCAACCATATCTTATGTTCTACAGCTTTAAATAAGATGGGAGACTATTATTACTACGGGCATTCTGGAAAACAAGATTTAGAAAAGGCAATTCAATACTATGTAGTTGCAACTAAGATGAGAGATCCACAGGCAAGTGAAAAAATGCATATTTATATCAATGATTTTTAACCGGTGTTCCGCTACGCCCCAGTCGATCCACATTTCAACTGGGAAGCGTGCTCTACCTTTTCACCTTAGCATGATTTATTGTTAGACTTCCTCACAGGTGACACTGCTCGATATTTATTACTGATTTATCGCGCCTTCCCTAAACACTGAAATGCATTAATTTTTATTTTACTTTATTCGTATGTTCAATATGTAAAAAAATAAACTATCCACTTTCTGACTGCACTACTTGCATTTCCGGATAGCTAAAGCACTCAAACATGGCACATCATTTTCAAAATGATTGCATTCTATATCATAGTCTCATATAATCATATTTAGGCTATTTTCAACATGGCGTTCATTCTCGAAAAACATGGAGATTCAGTCAGCAACGACACTCTGAAACTTCTCGGATTGCCCGATAAAGTTTTGAAGAGAAGAGAAGATACGATTGTGGAACTTTATCAAATGTAAAATTATAAAATTATTTTGAGCTGAATTTTTTTTTTTCAAGAAACTTTTCAAGGAGATTGCTCTCGGAGCGAAGTTACAGGCGACTACTGAATTGCAAACCGCTACAAAGACTATAAAGAATTATAGTGTAGAATTGTGCGTTGGTAAATATCGATTGAAGCAATATTCGAACAGTTCATGTTTCTAATGATAAAAATATTACGCTCATTTGCTCCAAACAAAGTCTTGTAAAAGCAGTTACTTATATCTAACGATCTTCAAGAAGCGACTGTTATTTCAGAATTAAAAGCTCTCCCAACATTCTGGGTGGGGGGGTGGGCGTTAGCTTCAATCCCCTTCGAACTCAGTGAAGTTCAATGCTTCTACCGCAAGGCCATTGCACCCATAAGTAACTCTCTGTGATCTGATGAGGCATTTTCTCCAGTAATATAATTATATATATATATATGTTTGTATTCAGATGTAGTGATTTAGGTTCAGAAGTAAACTCCATGCCGTGTTATATGGGATTGATTCGGATGAAGGCTTTAGTTATGTGGAAATATTCTTCGTTTTTAACAAAGGTTTGTTGAACCGTGTTTATTAGAATAAATCTAATACAATAGCATTTAGACGTTTATGTGTAATCCGTTATTGGGAATGCCCTACTTATATTAACATTATCCATTAATTGACATTGTTATCAAATTTTATTAAAGATAGAATCAATACCAATGTTTTAATAGGTTTTTTCTACCCTTTCTAGGTTGCTGTGACCGTGATTGTCATTATTGCCAGCAGCCTTCTAATTTTTGCTTCCACGTTTTTACGTCATCAACGCCATACTGACAATCTCGTGCTGACAGAGCAGGGAACAGTTGAAGATGGAGATGTAACGATAAGAACAAGACTTTTACAAGAAGAAATAATTGAACACGAAACCTGTCGTAAAGTGTCAAAAATTAAAGGTATCGAAGATTCTGATGACGCTGAAAGTCGTCTGCGTCGAAAGTCAAATAAAGAAACAACTGTAGTCGAAAACGGTGGTAGTGAATTAATTTGCACTGAAGTTGGGGAAGCCGATAGCGTTACTCAGTCAAACGAAACTTTAATAAAAAGAGGAAAATGTGCGCTTGAAGAATCTTCCGAGGACGAAAACGAAGAGCAAGACGTTAGTGTTCTAACAGTAAAAGATCAAAGCAAAGCTAATGGTGACTTGTTAGAACCCATTGTGGAAGATATTGGCACATGCACACAGGATGATGCTGAAAGTAGGGACAATAAAAAGGATCAATGATTTGAGCTCAGATTATGTGTACTGTGTACTATGTATATTTTAAAACCCTTGCGAAACTGAAATAGTGCACTAACATTTCGCGCCTTATGTACGTTATATAATTCCACAATTGGTAACTTGTGCTCCTAATAAATGTTGTATATATATGAGAAATATAAAGTGATTGTGGATATGTTTCTCTTTTAGTGTATTTATTTTTGCTAGCGTTTAGTTTACCAACAATAAATCTTCATTGCCACTGTCTTTAGTCTGAACAAGTGTTGTGTGCGAGCAGGTCAAGGTTCAATGCAAAAACGAAAATAGAACAAGTACTTCTTAAATGACTGTCACTTCTGGAAATATATCTTACCACACTATGAGGTGTGAATACTCATTAGACACGTGTTTATTGCAGAAATTTATTACAGCGATGTTATAAAAATACGATTTTTATCTTAATCTTTGACCAGATTAAACGTAACTTCTGCTGGCCTTTCAAAAAAATTTCATCGGAGAAATTAGATATTTTATCTATGTTTTTACACTTAGTATTCTTTTATTCATGCAAGGACGTTCAATATGGAGAAAAAGATTGACGTTTAAATAGGTATGTTACATTACCCCGTCAGACTCGTTTAATTATTATTTTTTTCAGGGTTTTTGCAGCTCTGTGATGAGAAAGAATGTTAAAGCGCAACATAAGCTAATTCCTACACGCTGCTGTTTAAATGTGGTACGCTTGGATTAAAGTAAAGGCTGTCAGAACAGAAATTCAAGTCTAGTTTTCAAGCCGGCGTAGAAAATTCAGAATCATACTTTTTTTGAATTTCATTTGAATTTTATAAATCAGCTGTTTGCAACCTCAGATGTCGTAATCATTTGGTCATAACTAAGTGTTAAATTCGACTGACACGATAATTAGCGCCATTATACGATAGAATATATGTTTGGCTTCTAGACTTTTCAGATAGTTTGCGTATATGCTGTCAGCATTCGGCGTACTTTTGCGCCTGAAATGCATCAAATCTTATTTCCCGTAATCAAGTTATTACCTTACAATTAGTCTGTTAACCCAAAAATGCATTGATGTGTGCTGGATTGACAGTTGGAGCACGTCCGTAGGCGGTAGCACCATTATAAGTATACGTTTATTTTGACTCTATAATCAGCATAATAAACGATAAAATAATTGATGGAAATCTAAATAAATAAAACTGTATATACAATAGGGTAGCAAACAAACCTCAAGAAAGGTTATAAGCGTACAGATTTTAGATGAAATATTATTGATGAAAGAAGCAGTGCGTGTCCGCTCACCTAACGCATGCGTTCGTTAATTCCAATCTCCTGAAAAATCATTTGAAAGTTTACAAACTAATTGTACACGTAAATATTTTAATATTTAGCCCGTTTTATCTATTTATTATTCCAGAAGATGAATTATTTTCTAACAACATTTCCGGATTATGACTCCGACTGCAACACTTTTCGAACCTTGCCCTTCATGCAAAACTGACAACGTTGGGGTCGTCTGGATTTAACGTTCTGATTGCTGGTTTGGTTCGATTTTTTTTTGAGTTTATTGCTCGGAACTAAAACTTCGTCGTTTCGTTGGAACGGAAATTCAAGAAACTGCAAAAATGACTCTTGAAGAACAGAAAATTTATGCCAACGACGATCCCGAAGATCCTGAAGACGAAGAAGATGACGACGATGAAGAAGAAGAGGAAGACTTAGTTGACCCAATGGACGCAGTTAAGGAAACTTGCAATAACATTCCGGAGTGCTCGCCCTATAGAGAAGAGTTAGTTCGATGCGAGGATCGAGTGAATAGCCGGAGTCAAACGGAAGAAGATTGCGTCCAAGAACTTTTTGATTTTCTGCATTGTGCAGACCATTGCGTGGCTGATAGATTGTTTTCCATGCTGAAATAACTTTTAGGCCAACTTTAAAAGTGTGAAACTGTGTTTTGGTATTTTTTGTTTAGCATTAATATTTTGAACAAATTATAAATTTAATTATTCTGTATGTGGCATATTTTTTGAAAATGTTATCACCAATTACTGAATTAATTTATATCTGGTTGTCTATATTTGAATAAAGTTTTGTGATGTATCAGCGATTGTATTGCTTAACTTTCAATGCTAAATTTAATTAGTTTGCATGGTTTCAAAGGTTAAATCTTTCTCCAAACTGATAAATGCCGAAATACTAAATGTTGATTCTTTATTTACTAGTTTATCACAACACCCAGACACTGTAGGACTGGCTGCGACTGTCTATAATATAGATATATTTGCAGCTTTAACACTCATGAAATTCTGAGGAATTTTGTGCTGCAAATTTTTCATTTTATTCTGATGTGATTTTGATGGTTCGACTTGAAATCAAGCCCTAAATTGTGGATGTATTTTGATGATCATGAATGAGAAAAATAGCATTGAATGTTTATGTAAAAGACTAGCAGGTGAGTAATTCACACTCCACGAGCAGAAATGTCTAAACAATTGTGTTTTAATGGAATTTCCAAGATATTACTATATGAAAAATGTTTGCAGAGAATTCGTGTTAATCAAGATAGCTAAATAGTCCAGTTTGAACACCGCAATGCCACAGAAATTGATAACAAACAGGTCAATGAATTACAGAGATTGCCAAAACTTCAAATAATGTTTAAGCACGAAACATAAAAGTACTACATGAGCGATCTCACTTTGTCGCACAGGATGTAACTTAAACAAAAAAAATAGGATGAGATAACATTTATTACATGTAATATAAGCTTTTGGCTTCAAGCATTGCGATAATATATGCCAATGTCATACACTCTTCGAAAACCTGAATATTTTTTATTGAAAAAAATTGCTATTTTGCTATTAAAAGTTTAATTGAAGTTTATTATAATTTATTTTTTACTATATGAATATCATGAATTGAACCCCGAATTAAAAGTAAGAGTTTTTAAATTGCTATCATGGGATATAATTTGTTTAAATATAATAAATTGATTTATCTTATGTTATTATCAAGGTTTGGATAAAGTTTTCTTGCCGATTAAGAAAATTGGAACAACTCCAGAGATAATTGAAGACAAAGAAATTTTCACTGCTGAGAAAAAATATGATGAACTTCAAAAACATTTCAAACAAAGCCCCATGAAGTTCTTGCAAAGATACTATGAACATATAAAGCCAAATGAAATTTCCTGCTTCAATTCTTTACCAGAAAATGAGCAAGTCTGTTATTACATCCGGCAGATTTGTCACAAACAAGATCTAAAAGCAAGAACAGAACTTGACAGTCGTTATATTTCTCATGAGGTTAAGAATCGTCGATATCAAGCTATGCAACAAATGATTAAAGAAGGAGAATATTTTAACGAGGAAGAAATGAGTAAAAGAAATCCAAAGCTTTATCAACATTACATAGGAAGGTTTGTTTATTTCATTGCTCTTTGATACTAAGTTTTGATATTGTATAGTGCAGACTGCAGTGGTTCTCAAACTTTTTTTTAAATGACCCAAATATTCGAATAAATAGATTTTTGGGTCTTTCGGCCCAAGGATATGCTCAAATACTAAACGTTCAGTACTTTTATGGCCAAAATTAAATGAATATTATCATGAAACAATCATTTTGATATAACACCTATTCCTCCAAAAATTTTTTTAAAGTGAGGAAACTGTGTTTGTTCGTTATCAGCATAGAATCGACGCGTGGCTTTACTAAAGCAAAAGGATTGCTGCCAAGTTTTCACGCAGTGATACTGCGAACGCATGCAATTACTATGGAGAAACACTTCAATACCGAATATAAAATAAACAATTAAATTTACTATGAAAAATAAAATTAGTAACTTACAGTTTTTTATTAAAAAAAGCGAACAACCCAGGAAATTTTTTAGGCAACCCAGTTTTGGGTCACGACCGATAGGGTGAGAAACACTGGTATATTGCAGTGGCTTTCAACTTTTTTGGTGGAGAAGAACACCGATGAAACATTACAGAGACTGGAGGAACCCCTGTGCAATAGTTTGATTGCCTTTTATTGAATTGTATAAACTACAAAATAAATGTTCAAGTGATGAAAGCAAATTTATACTGGCAAATAATTTTCTTTGGAGTATAGCAGGTTAAGTTCTGCTACACTCTAACACAAATGTATACCGTCGCACTTTGACAATTATTTTAAGCCAAGTAATTCGAGAGTTTTGCTGTACATAACAAAGCAACACAAATATATTTTTTCTCTCTGTCTATGGCAGGGGTCGGGAACCTTTTTGGTCAAGAGAGCCATAAAATATACATATTTCCAATTGCATTTCCGTGCGAGCCATATAACATTTCTTCAATTAATCAGACCTGAAATGTTTACTCGAAAGTCAACACATACAATGTCAATATACATTTAATGTGATTTCTGATGCTGCATGTAGGCGCTGCGGGCCTTGAACGGTTGTTCATCTGAAGCCCAATGTGGAAATCTACGATACTCATCACCCTTTTTCGTTTAGGCTACTCCGTAGTGTTTTTAAAACTATATCGCTTTGTGATGTCACAATATATGTTCCAGAATCCCCTTGTTTGTCACAATGCCTGTCTAGTAAATATCTTACATAACATAGACATGTGCTGGCGCGCGTTCTCAAACGTATTGGGAATTTCCTGCCAAAATTGGCTATAAAAGAGTTTGAAATCTCGTAACAATAGTGAGCTTAGTCTTAGAATATTAGATTTTTCTGGGAGCCATATGCCGTCACCAAAAGAGCCATATATGGCTCGCGAGCCATGGGCTCCCGACCCCTGGTCTATGGCCTCCTTGCATTATATGCTTACGGATCCACCAGTGCAAGATCATTGGAGAGGTATAAGTACGGTAGTTGGTCCCACAGAAATCAAATTATTAGCACTTTGACTGGGTTAATAACACAATACCGTTTAACAACACTGCTTGGTCATTGATACCATTTTTTTTAATGATAAAGATATTTCCCTCTTTGTAATCGAGTACAGCTTGTGTCACATTTTAAAGTTATGAGAAAAATTTTTTTTTTTCAATTTCCAGATCTGTACAAACTTAAAATTTGACATTCGGCATACCCTGAATTCAAAACTAAAACAGGTAATAAAACTTGGTTATCTCATCTTTCTTTACCGATATTCTGTCAGAAATCCCCAAAAAAAAAAAAACAGGCCTATAATCACAAGATATCGAAAAAAGTCCATAACTGAAAAATATGACATTAGCTTTAGCTTTAGTTTTAGTGTGGCATTCCATCTATCTTCTTTTCTCACTAGGTTTCTATCGGCAGAAGAAAAAGAGGAAAGAATGAGTGCAAGAGCTGCTGCTCATCCAACCACACTTTCTGGATTTTTCATGGATGTTATTGAGAAGAAATGGGACAAAGAGGATGAGAATCAGGATGAGGAATTTGATGATGACAGTGAAGAAGAGGAGGAACGTGTGCCAGGTAAATTTCTTCAGGATAGGAATTACATATTCATCCCAGGGAGAGGAAGATGGTAACATGACTTAATCATATCGTGAACCACGGCCTCTCGTCCTGTTATCAGTCAAAGTCAGGTATGGGATCAGTTAGTTATTTGTTTTCGGAAGCATGGACTTGATGGTGGAGGAAGCCGTTACCGACCAGTGGTTACGTGAATCACCCTACGGCGGTGAGGAGTCGAGCAATCCTCTCGAACATAACTATCCATGCATGGGATTTAACCTGTGAACCTGCGATAGGATTTGCATATTTATCCCGAGGGAGAAAAAAAAAGTAAAATTCAATATGAATAAGAATTTTATTTGATTCGAGAAACTTTCCGCATACTAGCACAAATGTACTGATCTCATTCGGATGAAACCTTGCAGAAATACATTTGTGAGAGTTTGACTGGACCCTAAATTCTGTTTGACCTGTTACACGGAGTTCAGGTTAGGTTAGGTTTGGTTAGGTCTTCGTCAATTGCTGAAACGATGCAATAGAATGACTTTGTTTGAATTGTCCAACTAATTCTATATTATGACACCTGGACAATTATCAGTGCTAGTACCAGCGGAACTAGGTTGTGATATGATTGACCAAGTTAGTCAGATTTTTTTTTTTTTTTGGAACAAATTTGAAATTCTGTCATATCCTATTTCCTTTAATCATTCTTTTCATAGATATTTCCGAAGAAGAGAAGGAGTTTTTAGCTGAAGAATTTAAATCCAGAATGTACGAGAGTTTTCTCAGTGGAATGGATAAAAATTTCTCATATGAGTACGAATTTTTACATTGAATGTGGATTCTGGTCTGTTATATCTGCAATATTATATAATCCTGACTTACTCAGACACAGGTGTCAAGCTCTGCCTTGTTTGAGATAGCGATACCATGGGACTGCCAGGCGATGGACCTAATGCCTTGTCAGAAGTCTGATATTATCATGTTAATTTTATTCCATCTTTAATAATAATCTTTAGCTGGTGGAATATGCAAGTCGACACCTCGCCCACATGTCCCCTCATCTCTCTTACATTATACATTCAAATTATGATAGTTTATAATGTGTTCATGAATAAGTATAAAGGAAATAATGAAGAAATACACAGTAAATAAAAAGCGGAATTTCTCCTTCAAATACTTCCTCCCAGGTTGGGAAACATGGGGTTATACCTGACATGGGCAAACTACAGACCGCAGGCCAAATCCCGCCCGTTGGGTAATTCAATCTGGCTCGCCTGATGCTGCCACAGCCAAACTAAAACCAAATTTTGATGTTTTAACTCAAGGAATTTGTTGAGAATGCGATTAAATTTAGTTTTGGCACGAGAATTATCGTTTTCCAATTTTGCTCTTGTGACACTGTAAATATTGTTCATAAAGTGTAAATTTTTACGTCACACCTACATGGCCCACCAGTCTGGGTGGACAAAATTTGTTGCCTCCGATCCAAAAACCTTCCCTACTCTTGGGTTATACTGTGTTTATTAAGTCTTTATTTCAACAGGGATGTTGACATGAACACAGATTACGATGATTTTCATCAGATTGAACGAGATGTTGAAGACGATTATTTCGATCAGGAGGAACCATCATTGAATCTTCCTGGAGAAGTTGATCAAGGTGCTGAAGATTCAGAAGATGAACTAGATAGATATATGAAGACGATAGATTCTTCGGGTAATGGATAAGGTTTCGAAGTTATGTGTTGGAAAAGTGAGAAACCCACAAAGCGCTATCACCATGCTATGGTGCATACAGTACAGTCGCGATAAAAGTGAGCGATATGCGTAGTGGAGCAGTTGAAAGCATAAGACTTAACGTCGCATCCATCGCAGGTTACGTGTCCCTGGTTCAAATACCATGCTCATAACCTAACCCAAGGTGTAATAAATTGGGTAGATGTTGCCGAACTGAAACATTCTGGTTCCTCTAAAGCAGGGGTCGGGAACCTTTTTGGGCAAGAGAGCCATGAAAGGTACATATTTTCAATTGCTTTTTGGTGCGAGCCGTATGACATTTTCATCACCTAATCGTGTCTTTAATTTTTACTGAAAAGTCAACACATACAATGTCGATACTGTATACAATCTGGTGCTGCATATTGTCGCCGAGGGTCTTGTGACTGCTCACATGCAGCACAAGTTGAAATCCACGATACTCATCACTTTTCTTTCTTTTGGGCATCTCCGTATTGCTTTAAAAATTAGTTTTGCTGGCCCAATCTAAATTTTACAAATAAACAGTACAAACCGACAGAATACTTATTACTTATCGATTTTAATCGGTAAGTATGTTGATAGGTATTATCTGTTTGTTTGTCTGTCTGTTAGGTGCACGCGATATCTCACGAAAGCGAGATTGAATCTGCTCCATATTTTGCTCCACTCTATCGCTTCGTGATATCACAAAATATGTTCAAGAATCCCCTAGTTTCTTCCCCATGCGCTAAGCGCTCGCTCTGTAACGTGTTGTCAAAATTGGCTATAAAGGAGAAATCTGGTAACAATAGTAAGCTTAGCCTTAAAATGTTGGATTTTTCTTCATGTGAAATTCCCCTTCTTAGTCGTGAGTCGAGTCAAAATTACCTTAAGTTTTGATTGATCCATCAGGTCACCGTGCCCTTCGTTTACAAGGGAAGGCGCAGCACTGAGTGCATTAATGCAATTCCATGCTACAATACAGTTGTGTCAAAGTCCCTATGCGTGAAGTCCAGATTCTGGTCACTGCTGTTGAGAGACCAAGTCAAGTGGTAGATTTTATAAAGAACGGTGGAGTGGATAAATATGAGTCACATTGACACTTTTTTTGAACTCTATTGGGGGGACATAGAGCTGTGACATTTTGGTGAAGCCAACCTCAACATGTTAGATTGGAGCCGTAGCTAACAGAAATTTTAGTGGCTCCAGCTCTTGACCATCTAAATTATTTTTCACATTTCTAGTTATAACCTGAAACTTAATAAAATCCACCCTTTTCACCTTGTAAAGATTTATAAATTACATTTTCTAATATTATTCTAAAACTGTGGTTCTCAAACTTTAAGCTGTGTCCCCTTTTTAGAATTTGTCAAGTCTTGCGCCCCACCTCAAAAATAACTAGCTAACAATAAGCTACAAATAACAGATGGTAAGGCGAAAGTAAGTTTCATTGAAAAAACTTGTTGAAAATACGGTATGGAACTGATAATAAAGATACAAGCACAACAGCTTCTCTAGTCTAAACAAAGAAATTTAGGACCTCCAGAAGGCGCACAACCTGCACATAGTATGGGTGTACCGGTTAGTATTCAGGCTGTGCGACATCTTGGTGCCCATACTTCTGGAGCACCGAAATGTAAATATCCAAAATAAGGAGGGCAGATATTTTTAATTAGGTTCACGCCCCCTCAAAAAATTGTCGACGCCCACCGTCTGGGAACTACCGATCTGAAAGTTAATAGTTAAATTTATGTATAAGATAGGATTTACATATTTATCCCGGAGGAGAAGAGAGCCAATATAGTGAACAAGATTGGAACTCCAACCATATCGGCGTAAGGTTCAGGCTTTGGAAGGGTGAACCCTGCTTATTATCTAGCCTAGCGTTGCCCTTCACGTTATGATGTCACCATTAATTTTGGCAACACCACTTTCGTTGTTTCATCTAATATCATAATTCTGTCTACCGTACAATTAGAGTTGGGGTTAATTTGCGTCGTTCCAGAAGTACCGTGTGTGTACCAATATGGAGGTAACTAATTTTGTACGCCTACTTTACATCAAGTTGTGTAAATGAGCAGAGGGTATATTAACTTGGCTGGCACAAACAGTCCCCGAATTCGTGATAGAAATAAGGAAAATTATGGACTAACCTGGTACGGTACACGTACTACGGGAGTACCTAATTTGGGTGTAATTTTTGCCTGGATTGGAGGTAAATTTTGCAAGCAAAAGAGTGCTTGACCAAATGTATCCTTACACCAAAAATGTTGACGCAGAATTGGAATTGCAACGGAACCGTTTTACATGCCTAACAGTACAGCGTATCATGAAATGTGACTTTTTGAAAACCTGAACTCAACTAGATTCTGTTTTAAATGTTCTGTATTGGCAATCGTGATCGGAACATATTCCATCACTCTGGAACGTTGGAGTCGGCCAGTCTCGTCGCAAACGACGGTCTTCATTCACCATGTGATCAAGCCGACCAACTTTCTTTCTCGATAAGAATGATTCCCAACTGGGAGCCCCCACCTAGGGTTGCCAACTATGAAAAGTTTCAATAAAGGACATGAATTACCGTCATCATTTATTTTGTAACTTGCAAGAAAGAACAATATAAAACAATGAAATAAAAAACATATACAAGCTAAAAAGATAAATTAAAAAAAATCTGCATGTATTTTTCATTTAATGTTTATGTAATATTTACCGAAACAAGGTCTAATTTTGCATAATATTTTAATTCTCGAAGTTATATTTCTTCTATAACATACTATGATTACACAAGCATTTACAAAACAGCATTGTTGGATTGTGGATGTCATAGAGACCAATTTTACGTAGAATTTTCAGTTATTGAACTAGAATTTACTCAAATCTTAGAGTGTTGCCATTTTCGGAAAATTATTATTTGAAATGTTAATAAAATTGTTATTTCTTTGACTATTTGAGCCGGACTAAATGGAAGTTGAAAAGAGTAATTAAAAGCTCACAACTACAAAAAACGGAGGCGATTTTTAAGAACAAGACAACATCAGACACGGTGCTATAATAAACTATCGGGCAAAACGTCGTTGGAAAGAATAAAGGACAATTAGCATCTTTTCTAGATGCTAAAAAAAACAAGAACCGAAAAACTTAATTAAAAGATTGTCTTTTGAAATAAAGGACCGTTGGCAACTCCACCCTAACAAGGACCACGGAGCAGTTGAAGGAAAGGTCGCAACTCTAGGCGCAAAATAATTTTATTTTTCTCTCTACAAAAATTTTTTACGTTCCTAATAGCTTTAAGGCAATTTCACCTTGTTGAGCTTGAATTGTTTGAACCTAATGTGATTCGGAATCTACCAATATAAATAACGCTATAAATACTACTGCAATGACAAACAGGGGTCACCATCAGTTCTAAAAGCATCCGTAAGGGCACGAGACATAACAAGTTGGGGACCACTGTTATGGGGTATCGCGTGTTATACATCTCTAGTTTAAATCGCGTGCCCAGTGTGTAATAAATTGGATAGGCAATCTTGCACTGGAATCCTGAGAATAGGAGGTCTTTACATATCGGTGGCTGCCTTTTCACGGCCTTGGGTACTCCCGTAGTATGTGAACCAAGATGGCGGGCACCGGAACGTAGCATATATGTTTACCAGGTCAGGGTTGGGCCCTAATTTCAGGTACCGATACTACGCGATTCACTTGGCTAGTCCCCGAAATCGTGATAGAAATAAAATAAGGAAAAATGATGGGAAATTAAGACCTAACCCTAACCTAGTACACATACTACGTTGCGGTGTCCGCCATCTTGGTTCACATATTACGGGAGTACCCGACTTTTTTTGGAACCAGCAACTATCGTTAAAAACGCTACAGATTTGTGAAAGTCTACAACGTGAACGATCGTAAGAGGCTTCGCATTGAATTGATATAAAATTACAGTTACTTCAGAAAATACGGCATGGACTTTTCGTAGTTAGGCGGCCCAAGTATCAGTCTGATCTTATTGTGGTGGATATTGCTGTTCTATTAACTTTTTATACCAAACGTATTCGGGGTATATTAACCCCTTGCATAGAGCGTTGTTTTGTGCTTGTTCTTTCAATTTATATTGGGTAACATTGACCCCGGTGGGCGTGAACATTTTGTAAGTCTCGTCCGCAATATCTTTACTATTTACGAGTTTATCTTCGACACAAAGCTCTTCAATTTCTTTTCGTAATTTTCTAAATTCTTTCAGGTCGTGTTCAAGTCTGTCTTTTCCGTAAGCTTCTACCCGACGCCAAAATGTTTCATTGAAATATCTATACATCGTGTAGTCAGCTTTGTTCCATTTTCTTATCTGATCTATGACGTCAGAACTCACGTGCTCCACATCTGATTGATTTCTTGCGTTCATTGATAAATATACAATATTTTTTATGTTCCAATGGAGCACGTCTTTCAGTAAAAGCAGAGAAATCTCGAAATATTCTGAAATTAAAACAAGGTCGAATATTCCTTCAATTTTTGCGATTGATTTTTGGATATATTTTTCGTCATCAGATAAATTATCGAATCCCAGATCGAAGAACATTCCATTTTGAGCGACCCACCAAAATCTACCGTCGCCTTTCCCGTTGAAATATCTAAAACGAAAAGTACATTAATAGATCTTATTCGGAGATATTCAAGGCTTTAAATATCACATACAAGCGCGGTGGCCTATAGTTGTTAGATCGACCTCTCTAGCATCGTTTTCAAGCGTGATGGGGCCACAGTCGCCTCGCAGCTGATAATTCTGAAGCTTGTGTTCAGCCAAAAGCCACAAATTACGAGCCAACTAATAAACCTCCGAGTGAGAAAAACAATGACAGAGATTCTACTGAAGTAGAACGTTATTATGAATATTTTTGTAAATTTATATCTTCAATATTTTATCGGGATATTTAGTTAAGTACATTTAACTAAATAACATTGGGTACGGCCAACTACCCAAGCAATTTTACGTCAATCTATATTGTCCTTAGGTCTGATTATATATAACGCAATTTTCCATGGTACGCAAACGTATATTTTGACATTGAATTTCACAAATTGGCACCCTACTGTAGCCTATTTGGTCTACACTCAGCCGAGTTCTGTGTCACAGAATTCTGTAATCTGATCATTCAGATGCTTCAAAACTATTTATTATTGAGGTAGCAATTGACATCGGCACCGATAAGGCTATTGTGACGCAATATGCTCAAAAATGCCAAACTGGGGGCGAAAATAAATCTTTAGGACTTGGAGTAACTTAAAATAGAAGTAACCTTTAACGACTTCTTTCAGCCATAAAACCACGTGGTGAGCAAAGTTTGGAGTAAAATACTCCCGAAAAGTGATTGTTCCTGTCTTTACACAAAAAAACAGCTTTTTGTCAACAACAACACATTGGCAAAACAATCATTAGGTCGTGTCTAATACCATAAACAGCTACTTTTGTGTTTTGCATCCATTATCGTTTATCACGACTGAGGTTTCTGTCGACCATTAATCGATATTAAAAATTATATATATGCTCAAGCAATGCATGTGATTGCGAATGCCCATGAAAAATAAGCGGTTGATTCTAGTGCGAAATTTCGAATTGCATACACTAAAAATAGGCAAGATCAAAAACTTACTTTTTCGGGTCAGAAACAAAATCTTTCAGTCCACTTTTACCTTCAGCTCGACTAAATGGTACAACGTCTTGCTTAAAATATTTGAAAACTGACTCAAATTGAGTTGCAGGATCACGCAAGATTGTAATATAGATGGTGTCAGAAGGTAGAACGGATGAGACCTGAAATTTTTTCCATGAGGAATATGAACAAATTTAGTTCATTCTGATCTCACTACTGTTCTAGCGTAACAATTTTGTATTAGTGGACGGTTATAGCAGAATTTCTAATCGTGAAGGGATTCCTACCCAGGAAATAATTTTATAGTTTCAGCGCAAAATTTTTTAGTGTAATATTGATAATACTTGTTACATACCGGTATTTATTTAAACTGTGCAAAACGGAAATATGAGTTGCTATTCCTTGTTAAGGATCCACGTAGAATAAACAACACATGGAAATAGAGTTTTTAGTCATTTTTTTTAACGACAATTATTCACTGATTTCGCTACGAACAAAGCTATTTACAAAATTGTGATATATATATAAATGGCGTTAGAAGGAACCTTTTTTAAAAGGAAATTTAAGCGAATTTAGATTTTTCGATTTAACAAAAATATTCAGTAGATATCGCCCGCAATAAAATAAGGGTTACTTTACTGGGGTAACAAGATTTGTATTGCGAACCCTAAACATTGTGATATTTGAAGGATGGAGTTTGATCTTGTTAAACTCGCCATCTCACCCAGGTAAGGCGCGCCCTACAGCAAGGGCGTAGACAATTTTTTGAGGGGATATGAAGCTAAAAAAAAAATAAAATTTTTGTCAGATTTGATCTTGCCGGCCCTATTTTGGATATATATATACATTTCTTTAATTTGAATATTTACGTTCCATGCACGCATTTTCAACGTTTTTTTTTAATAAAACATACTTTCAGCTTACTATCTGTTATTTGTAGCTTATTGTTAGTTATTTTTGAGGTGGGGCGCTAGACTTGGCCAATTCTAAAAAAAAGGGCGCGGCTTAAAAAAGTATGAGAACCGCTGTTAGAGCGAAGGGCGTGAGAAAGGGTCATAAAAGTAACTTACTTCTGTATAATTGAACACCATGTGATGCAACAACATGCTCACATTTTTTGAAATAGGCACCGGCATCATCATGGATTTTTGAAACGAAGTTCCAGTCATGTAACCAAATAAAATATCTCCTTGCGGCAATCCAACAAAACAGTTATTTTCTTCAGCGTATCTCACGAGTATATTTTGTAGTGTCGAACTTCCAGTCTTGTGCGTCTTCAAAAACATCACATTTTGCTTTGGAACGGGAGCCCTCGTTTTTACGACCCTGTTAAATAAACGAAAAATAAATTTTGTCTTGATATAAAATTTTGACACAACAGACCAAGTATTACGGATCAAACTCAACGCCAGTTTATTAGTGTTTCCCTTATATTTTATTGAATGTAAACACTTTAATAATCAACTCGCTCATGCGTGTAGCACTTTTTTTCTTCGCGCTTTTCAAGCGCGTTGTACTATGTGTAATCATTCCTTGTCTAGTTGTCTTATGAGTCTATTGGTCATTACGCTCAATATTATTTCAATATTATTACAAAGGGTTTGTGCGTTGTATTCGGGTGAAGGATCGTAGCGGGATCTAATAGTATTTCTCCTTACTGGCGTTGTGGCAGCGATACGGAGACAATTCATTGCCTTCAATATTCGTCTCGAAGATATTAATAAATAGGGTCGTGTTTTTATCAATTCTGTTTTTAAATTCAGGAGCTTGTTTTGAATCGATAATTTTCTGTATATTTTTTTTATTGAAATACCCCTTGCATCGCCTTGAAACTACGCGAAAATATTGCGTTTTGGCAGGTGCACACGCTGCCGTAATAATAATTTCAAAATTATTGCTGATTGTGAGTCTCCTTTGTAACAATGACGTCACAACTAATGTGTTAAAAAGTCATAATAGGGATTTCAAGTTTATGATTTAGGACCTCACAAGTATAGTTTTAAACTGCGTGAATTACAAAACTTTAGTTACATATGTACAAAACGTCATGACACAAGAAAATCCGACATCATAATACTAGTTTTCAGTCAGATCTGACATAGTAAAAATTATATATGATAATGCTTACTTAGATGAATTAGTATATATAGCGATATTTTTTTTTCATAAAACAAAGGCGTTATTACGGTTGAACTGTATAGTTAATTTAAAGTAGCATACTTTGTTTTTAAGATTGAAAGAAGATAAGAGTTTTTCAACGTTATACAAATTCAATTATTCGGCCGTATTTCAATTTTTAATCTTTTAAACGGTAAATATTTGGAATTATCAACGCGAATACAAAAGAGGAGATCTATAAAGTTTTAAACTGACATCATTCTGGAACAAGCCTTTACAATTTAAAAACGATTTAAAGTGAATAATAGTTCAAAATTGATTGTCAAGGCCATCGAGGTCCCCTAGATTTTAGCCTATCTTGCCTAACGGTATATGCGGCCCCGGCTCACAACCCATGAGTGATATGACAATGTACAAGAGGATTGCTGGACTCCTCGACGTCGCAGGGTGGTTCATGTTATGGCTTATCTCTTCCTCCGCGAACCACGTTTGCGGACGTATTGTGCTACAGCTTGAGATGGCGTGTATGGGCAAATCATCGATATTTGTGGTGTTTCATGGGTTTATTGCGAATAAGAAGCAATTGACAATTTTTGTTTTAGCCTATTTAATACAAAATAAAAATTACATGATACAGCCAAACATGCACAAATTTTTCATTTAAAACAATTGTTTTAAAACAAGTATTTTTAAACAAATCCCCATCAATATATTCTTCATCTATCTCGAAAGAGGCGGATACAACAAAAAGAACGATGATCCTTATCAATTCTACTATAATGACGTCAGCAAAGGCATAAATAATTCCCAATGACAATAACGCCAGGTCTATGCACTAATGGCCAGCCAATCGACTGAATGCTGGAATCTGTGTTATTATATGAAAACGACAAGCTATGTTTCGAATGTGTCTACAAATTATACTTGAAAATATAACTTACGTAGAGCTTTGAATATTACGAATGACGGAAATATTCTGATTTCGTTCGTTCCATCGCATGTTTACTTTATCCTGGTAGATAACTAACAGCATCAGACTTGATAAGAAGAAAACAGCGATCAAAATATTCTTTGCACTGGGTTTCATTTTCAAATGTTCCATCCTATATATTATTCAATACTCCTTACGTCTAATGCGATAGAATTGTCGCAATCTAGTAGAATAAATGTTGCAGATAAATGCTATTAAATATTCATAATATATTCGACGGAATTGTATCGTTTTCAAATTGGATGAAAGGTTTGAACTGAGCTAAATGGCGTCAACAAATTCTATAAACTGTGCAGGTTTACAGATAAATCGCATTGTATTTTGAATTAAATAATAAATAAGGACAGTCTTGCATTAACCAAAATAACAGAATTTCGATCACTGAAATGCTGAAGAGATACTAAAACTGTATAGAATTAGCTTATGACATGAGCAAACTACAGCTCGCAGGCCAAACCTGGCCCGTTGGGAACTCAATATGGCCCGCCTGATGCTGCCACAACCAAACTGAAACCACATTTTGATGTTATAGTTTTAATTAGTTCAAGGAATTTGCTGAGATTGCGATTAATTTTAGTTTTGGCGCGAGGATTACTGTTTCCCACTTCTGCCTTTGTAACACTGTGAATATTGCTCATAAAAGTAACGTTTTACGTCACACTTACATGGTCCGCCAGTCCAGGTGGGCAAAATTTTTGGCCCCTGATCTAAAAACAGTGCCCACCTCTGATTAATGATTAGGGTGGTGCGTTACGCTGAGGTGAAATGACGATTTGGATGAGACTTGAAGCAGCTCATGCCAATACGGTCAGGAAAACAGCTGCTGACCGGTGAAGAATTTCACACAACAGGCGCTTCTTGAAAAGAACTTTTGATATTGAAAATTTCTTTAGTTAAGATTACTAGAAAGGGTACACTGTGAATAAAGGAATAATAGGCAGAGTACGTCTTCTTATGGTAAGAACTAAAATAACTTGTCATATCCGAGTTATTTATTTCCAAACCTTTCTGTCTGATTTTATCTCTCAAATCTTCAAATTCTTGTTTTATTGACTAATTGAGTAAAGTTACACATCCCCTAACATTGTCGAGATACCATAGGAAGTTTGTTGTCAACTTCCGATATACAACAATGAACGTGTTGCAAAATTATGACTCAAACATTCAAAATGGTTACTGTTGAAATTTCCATTAAATATATCAAAATATAATCCAAAATCTGTAACTTTACAGTCAATTCAATTATACATATTTGAGTACAGAGGTTTTATTTAACTGTCGTATGAAATACCATCCACGAAAGGAAGCTATAGCATGGAAGTTCAACCTGTGGGCCATGGGCCGCTGCTGGGTTACAAAAACATTTTCAGGTGGTCCACAAACATATTCAAAATTGCTAGATTTATTGATAAATTTAGTTCATTTGTGTCACTGTAAGTAAATTTTGCAGTTGTAGTATAGCAATGAATGATGATACTTTATTTTGCTACCGTGTTGTTAATTTTATTCTAATTATTGAAGTGAAAGGTTTTTTTGCGGAAATTTTCTTGTTGTTTCTCCTTGGCATGACAATTGACCACCGAATTTTTATGCAACTACCAACTTTCATGACCTTTGACCGATGCTGCCAGCTACGTTTTTTTGTGCTGTTTGAGAGGACGCTCGTTGCGAAGAAGGGTGCGTCAGTTTTATACTACTAAGTAAGGTAAAAATTGTGTCTGGCAGCAGTCGTCACGGTCCGATACGTTCGTATGAAAGTTGGTAATGAAAATGGACCACGAATGACTGAGAACCATTGAGATATACAATTAGCAGCACCTGAATTTTTCCTTATCTCCATTTCTTTATTTTCGTTTTGGTAGACGAGTGGTAATCCTTTTCCAATTTTGGATTAGTAACGGAAATAGTATGTTAAAGAAATTCAAATTCTGGATCTAGATCTGAATAATAAACAATATATTTTCTATTACCGGGTTAAACAGCTGACAGTGCAATAAACCATACATTATAAATTATTGATTCATCATTATTTTCTTGCATTTGTCATCCCAATGCTTGACAGACAGGCCAAAATTAACGCTTATGCTTACTGACGCGATTTATTTAATATTAGCAATTTCTTGCCTGTAGTACATCTGCTTTGCTCGACTAATACTTGTATTATATTATACTTGTATTGCTTTACACTTGTCCTACTCGTCAAAAATTTGTCCAGCTCGTACCACACCTGCCGCCCCATGCTTGCTCTGCCTGTCCCAAATTTGTTCTGTTTGACTCGCACTTGTACTGCTCGTCCTTCACTTATCCTGCTTGTATATTAAACTCGGCCTACTCGTCTCACATTTTTCCAGCTCGTACCACACCTGCCCTGCTTGCTCCATATTCCCTGCCTGTCCCAAACTTGTCCTGCCTGTTTCACCCTTGTATAAATAGTGATGAATTCCAGGATTCCACAGGATGGATTCCGCAAACCCATTCTTGAAATGCTGTGATAATCAGCGAAATTGTTCTCGTTCATTGGTTTACTTTAGACGTTATACGTGCACCACAGCTGACAACTAGTGTTATATTTAGCGATTCGAAAGATATGTATTAAATTTGTGTGAAGCGTGTCTTGTTTAAGTCTACGTAGTGATATACATATATTTTCTCAAATGAGGGAACCTGTTTTAGTAAGTTCGGTACAAAAGAGAACCCGTTCTTAAAATTTTAAACCCAGCCGCTGGTCGTGAGCTATATTTTACATCATTATGATGAAATTTTGAAATTCTGCGTATATATAGAATTCGTTTCTTATGCAGTAAATGTCGAGGCCGTTTATATCAATTGGAACTAACAAATATAGGTCGTACTGGAAATCGAGCAGAGTGTCAACGTGCACAAATAGTGTAAGCCGTAAGGGGTCTGCAAACATTTTTCTATCGTTTTTGTGTTATAATGTCATAACTACGGCTACTTAGAGCGGGGATTGGCACATCGAGAACTTCCAAATTGACAGCCCACAATTAATTTTCACACATATTCACATATATATAAATGTCCTATATTTTACATTTTTTTTATAACCATGCCGTCGCGTCCGCTTTTTATTAACTCATTGTCGTCGTGCTATTCATTTAGGGTTATTATCGCGATCGTTTTCATTCGACGTACTTATACAATCAAGCCGCGATCGTATCCCCTGTTACGCAAGGGGATACGATAGTTTGAAAAGATCAGTTTACTACACTCTTGGCGATGTGGTGGCAATGGGATTAGAAACTGAGCTTACCGAGATATCACACGTTGATGCCGCAATAAGATTTACATATTTATCCCATGAGAGGAAAGCCGATAAAACAGCTCGATCATATGGGGAACCACGGCCTCTCGTTAGCGTTGTAATCTGCATGGACTTGATAGTGAAGGAAGCCCTAACCTACCAGCGTTTACGTGAACCACCCTACAGCGGTGGTGAGTCAGTCCGTCAGTCAGTAGTTTATTTTATCACAAACCGAATGTAAACATTGATGAACAAAATCAGGAAAAATAAAAAATTGCATTTCAGTGTGAAAGGAGACGCGATAAACCAAAGATGGTTATCAAGCAGCGTCACCTTTGTTCAGTCCAGCAATACTCTCGCACATAATTGCTCCCGAATGGGATTAGTTATGTTATGTTATGGGATTAGTTAGCGTTGTAATCTGCATGGACTTGATAGTGAAGGAAGCCCTAACCTACCAGCGTTTACGTGAACCACCCTACAGCGGTGGTGAGTCAGTCCGTCAGTCAGTAGTTTATTTTATCACAAACCGAATGTAAACATTGACGAACAAAATCAGGAAAAATAAAAAATTGCATTTCAGTGTGAAAGGAGACGCGATAAACCAAAGATGGTTATCAAGCAGCGTCACCTTTATTCAGTCCAGCAATACTCTCGCACATGATTGCTCCCGAATGGGATTCGAACCTGCGAGCCTACGCAGGGTAATCAGAGATGAGGTGGCGAGCGGAATGCTTAACCCAGCGTTTCCCAACCTTATTTTCTCACCAACGAAAACCTTCGCGGACTCATCGTGCGTTTATTGCAACCGTACTGTGTGTGAAAAAGTAATAAAACCAAACACAACAGAATTTTAGCGAATTTCAAAATCAGAAATCGCCCCAATTACGCGTTTGTTAAAAGAGCCGACTTTTTAATGTATAAATGGCCCTTTCTATCGCACAATATTCAATCCATGACAATGACAAGAATTTAAAATGTCTTTCTATTTTAATTTAATTGTGTTCATAGTCACTCGCGGTTGCGTCGATTTATGACAAGATGAAAGCATTACTTCTTTATAAAATGCCACGGCAATCTGCGAACATGATAATGCGAGCATATATTGCGCGATTATATTTAGTTTTGATACATATTTTTGAGATCTTGCAAATTTTTTATCGCCGTTAGAAAATTCCTACCATCTGTTTTAAATTTCCAGAAAGTAACACTTGATTTGGTACTTATCGCAAATATAATTAAAGTATATTAGTAAATCAAAAAAAAAAATAGTGTAAGCCGTAAGGGGTCTGCAAACATTTTTCTATCGATTTTGTGATATAATGTCATACCTACGGCTACTTAGAGCGGGGATTGGCACATCGAGAACTTCCAAATTGACAGCCCATTTTTAATTTTTACACATATTTACATATAAATGTCCTATATTTTACACTTTTTTTATAACCATGCCGTCGCGTCCGCGTTTAATTAACTCATTGTCGTCGTGCTATTCATTTAGGGGTATTATCGCGATCGTTTTCATTTGACGTACTTATACAATCAAGCCACTGCTGCGCAAGGGGATACGATAGTTTGGAAAAATCAATTTACTACACTCTTGGCGATGTGGTGGCAATGGGATTAGAAACTGAGATTATCGAGATATCACACGTTGATGCCGCAATAGTTAAGATTTACATATTTATCCCATGAGAGGAAAGCCGATAAAACAGCTCGATCATATGGGGAACCACGGCCTCTCGTCCTGTTATGGGATTAGTTAGCGTTGTAATCTGCATGGACTTGATAGTGAAGGAAGCCCTAACCTACCAGCGTTTACGTGAACCACCCTACAGCGGTGGTGAGTCAGTCCGTCAGTCAGTAGTTTATTTTATCACAAACCGAA